AAAGGCTCGACAAGGAAACTGACCTGTAGCATGAAGTTCGATAAAATCCACTTCTCGTGGGTTGCGTTCTGCAAGCTTGAAAGCTCGTCGCATTGCATCACGCTGAGCTTCAGCCACTGGTGCACCAGGAGGAGCTCCACCGCCAGAGGAGTTTATTGCCGTGGCTAAAATCTACATATCGTGGTCAGAATACATACCGCATTGAGGAAGACGGTATTGAATGCATACCGTCGCATAGATCTGATCTGCATCCTGGATCGCCTGCTGAAGAGGCTTAACCACAATCGCCACGCATGCTTCCGCCCTTCCAAATCTGGGCAAGAAGCTAATGAGAGTGCTGACATACTCAGGATAGTATTCATTACCCGTCAGCCGACGCATCAAACGGCTTGCATTTCCCATCGCTGGATAGGAGGGACCCTTGACTGTAAGTGACCCAATCAATGAAGCTAACGAGCGCCTCCGTCAGTGTGTGGCAGCCCCGACATGGGCGTTCCGCTCACCGGTGGTTGAGCTGACATCCAGCAACGACAGCGGCATCACATTCCCCATTTGAAATGGACTGCACTGCCAAGTGCAATGCTGTGAGGGAAGAGCTGCACGCCGTATCAGTCGGAACAGATGGTCCGAGTAAATCAAGATGGGTGGAGACGCGGTTGGATACCATAGATGGGTATCCAGCGAACGATCCTTCACAGTCAAATTCGTCCTAGAGTAGTAATGTAAGTGCCTGAAGCATGCGAGCAGCGGTATGAATCCTCACTGGTTCAGCGACGTTGGTCAACTCAAGATTCGTCCCAGAGGTAAAGCACCCGACGTTTCTGTTGCGATAGTCGATTCCCGAGTCCACGAGGGCCAGAAAGCATTGTTCTATAAGCTTTCTGGTCGCTGGAGCCATGGTACGGGCGTCTCTAGCAGAGATTCCAAATTCTACGTTGTCAAACAAGTCTATGCCCTTGAGGAATGATCCAGCATTCACTCGTATTTCTCCGCGGTTTTTGCCTTTCCACCTGGTATACGTGGTAAGAAACGTGCTCAATGACACCATACGTGAGAGGAACGTACGCCTCGACATTGAATCTGCCATCCGGCATGCATTCGTAAGACTCCTGACCGTTGAGCAGGAAATCGAAGAAGGAGCTATGTTCTAAATTCGCCTTCGAGTAAGCCCCGCTGGGCAATTCAGCAGATATTCCGACCTGAGAAGGATGAGGATTGATGTAATACTATAGAGGAAAAGACATACTATGGCGATAGGGGTAGGCATTGCTCAGGTCGATGCAAAGTAACATCTCTTCTCGGTACTTAAACTGCTGGATGCGCGTCTGGGTGCAGAATGGACGATGAACCATCAGAATGTGAACATCGCTGAGAATACATACCATGCTGTTCCTGAGATCAGGTTACACATTGGTGCATGATCCATGAGCGATGGTACACGGAGATCATGGTCATTTCCAATACTGTGCACTGGCGGGGGTATATTCCACGCTGCCAGACTGTCATGAACGCCCAATACGACGCTGTATCAACAGAATACCATAATCAGAACGCAGTTGCCCTCATGCGACGGAGCCACAATGAATAGATAGCTCGCTGATCTCCCTGAGCGGTTTCCAGATGGATTGGATTTACCAGGTCCGTAGACGCACATTGAACAAAATCGACTGTTTATATTGAGGTCTGAATTACGATACGTGAACAGAGTACTCGATAGCCATAGTTCAGAAACATTTGACTTCTGTGAGCCACGCACTGGTTTGTTGTCATTCTCAGAAACCTGGCGGTACGAGTTGGCGTTAGTGGCAGTAGCATATATACGGTCTCTGACTCAATCATGTACACTAGCCCCTTCGTTCGCGGAACATTTGACGAGGCGCCATCAAATAGCATCAGAGAAAGTTGGAAGTGCCCTGCCAGCACAAAGGGAGCTTCAAACTCCGCTTAAAATGCGGATCTAGATCTGGCCAACGTGAATACCTCCGTGACATCATCAAACTTGCCGCTATAATGAATACTCCATTTGTCGCGCGGGAAAATAATTTGATTATTGTTAGCCGAGCTGGCAGCACACTCGGGTGGCCCTTTGAAGAAAGCGGAAATGTATAAACGGGACGACACCGACTAGGCTCGTCGCAAGAAAACGCAGGCGTGTAGATACGTGAGCCGGGAGCTTCTTCTCCGACCGTGCCGATCTGTACTTGCGGACATGGATCTGAGTCTAGTGGACCTCCGCAAGCCGCAAGCTCGCTAAATCCCAAGCCAATTGGCATTCATCGCAGGGGCCCATCACAAAGTCTTTATATCCCGCGTTTGCGCTGGCACCCCGTGTACCGCATGAAACCACTGGCTAGAGTCGACGCCCACTTTCAGGGACCATCAGCCTACCACAAGACCGCTCCTTTCACTCTCTTCCGTTCTCAAGAGTAAGCAACATTTATACCTAACCTATTGCCTCCGAGAAGAGAACATCTTAGGTTCCAGAGAAAATGTATATGGGTATTGCGAATCTACCAGAGTTCCGACGTGAGTTGGGCTCTCATGCATGACCTCCGATGCGTCATGATGGATGGGTATGGCTTGGAGCGTCGTCCATGAGCAGCAACTATCAGGTTCTTGTTCGCATAGTGATGGTCTGAGATATGATGAGAAACACAATTAGCAATTGTTCCCGACCGCGCGCGACAGGTGTCTGCGAGAAGATATCAATCAAAGAGCTCACTTTCACAATCTCCGTAAGCAACGGCACACAATCTTTGCTTGTGTGGAGCTAGATCCGCTAGTACCTGTCAGAAGCTATCTCGTTCGCGAACATAGGTGAAATAGTCTATCGTTTACGCTTCCCAAATGATATGGAAGGGAGACCAACTTTAACTCCAACCGTCACCCTTGTCCTCCTGCACTTTCTCTGCGTGATTTAGCGCCACGAAGGAGATTTTGCACCATTTCCATGAGACCACAGCGCGCAATAGTAGCGATGGAGCTTCTAGTGACCGTTCCCATCAACGAAAGCGACAAATGCTGAAGACACTACCAGAAGGAGCAGCACTCCCACGCTCAGAGGCGTGCATCGTGTGGAAGATATAAGTATGTTATCTGACAACAGGGGACGGCAGGAGCCGGATGCCCACTTTCGATTGTTGCCGATGATCACTACTGCCCAGCATGAACGCCATTCCCTTTACCTCACTTCGATTGAATGAGATGTATCTTAGCTTGGGCATGAACACGCCAGACATGCATGAATGAGCACAACTCCAGACATAGGTTCTAAGGCGACTTACTGTGTTCAAACGTCCGTCGAATGCCACATTACGCCCTTGCGGGACTCCTGGCTCGAGGCGGCGTCCTCATGGGTCCGTAGAACCCACTTTTAGTGAGACAATACGAGGAGTCACAGCTGTTGCCAGTGCAATTACCTTCAATGTGGAGGTCCTAGGTACGTTCTAAGACAGGCTGCAACGCATGTCTGCCGGTATGCATACATGCTAGCGTGGTGCTTGTCTTGTGACGTCACACCTATGATGGACGCGTCGGCGATTCTGCGGTGAGCAACGTACTCTCGGCTGACTTGACACCATAAAGTAATGATGATCAGCCCGTCAGTGCAGAACGTGTGTGTGTGTGATTTCATGAGTATCTGTTTATTCCGTACATTAGACGAAAGTCCGGGGCCGTTTGGTAGTTGATCCGCTCACTTGTGATGTACCTGTCCGCTCGAGAATCGGATTCCCAATGATGGCGCTTTCCCGGGCGCTATGCGTTATTGAATTGGCATGAATGTTTCTGCGGAGATGGACATGAAGGCCATCAGCGCCCCACGGGTCCCCAATAGCCTGCAGCATGAATCCATCGGCGGAGATACCAGCATATTCTAGTATATACCTTCTAGGGCTAAGGGTATGTTTTCTTGAGCACCGCACCGTTGATCACATGACACTGCGCTCTTTCCATTGTAGCTTTTGATACGTGCAGTTTCCAGATACCCAATGTATTCCATCCCGGTAACAATGTCCAACTCGATCTCATACAACGACAGCATGAACGAAGTATACATCTTGCCAAGGCTATAACAAGGTTTTGACATGCTGAAGCACAAGTACAAGCGCGCAATCTATCGCTTGCCATAACGCCGCTTTCCTGTGTCCGCGTTGTTGTATCCGAGACTGTTGGTAAAAACCAGGAGTGAGCCCATACAGTCGGGGACCGGCAGGGCATGTCGGATCAAAGACATAGACGCGGCTCGACAACATCGGAGATATATGTACTGATCGTTCCACTGGGAGTTCTGCTCGTGCGATGGCATGAGCTGGAGATCAAGGTTGATGAGGACTAGCGACGGTAGCTCATATGAGCAGCAATGGGCGACTCCATTGCGTTATAGCCACCGTTATGCGTAGTAAACATTGACATGGAGTGAGGTTTGCAATGGTGAATAACAGACACAACGAGATGAACCTCCTCGGACAAGCAGAGTGGCTGCTCTCGTGCTGCTTGACCTTGCTCAGCACCGATGAGCCACAGACCACACACAACAGCTTACGATAGACACATGTCTATACCTTGTAACGCGTATACTGAGGGAGGTGAGCTAGATAACAACGGTTGAGACATTGGGACATGCTAGTAGCCGTACAGGCACAGAAACCCCGAAGGTCCAAATAAACACGTATCAGAGAAGCGACAAGCGGCGTGCTAAACAACGTAGTATTTCACAGTATGTCGAGCATTCGACATTATAGCAAAACCATGGCCAATGAAAGTGCGAGAGCCAGGACGACAGCGCTGCCAATCACTCCCCTCTTCAGCACGCCGTTCATAGCCAATGTATGGTACAAGAAGGAGGGGCGAACTATCTTGTTCAGTATTTGCAGTCGGCCGCGCTGACATTAGCGATTGTCAGAATCAGGAAGGATGATGCACCCAAAGAAACGCTCTGATGTACCTCGTATGGCGGATACCTGGTGAAGAGCAAGAGTTGGTCGGTCCTGACAAGATCTTTAGTTAAACTCCGGCTTTATATTATAATGAGAGACATACCACTTTGGAGTCTCAAGGCTGCTCCGGAGATGTGTGAATATGTCGAAGGTATACTTGCCGGTTGTGTATCCGGCTGTCAAACACGGTGAGGTCACCTCGTTCTCCGTTATAAAAACATCTCACTGACAACCACTGGCCCCGATACCGCCGAAAGGGATTCCAGTCACTATACGATCATCATGAGCGAGTCGACCGCGTCCTAGAGGCAAAGCTGGGCATACCTGCATAGTGGATGACGAGCTCATTGTACGAAACGGTACCGCTTTGCGTGTTGTCGAAGACTGTACATCAATCAGCATGTGTGTATGGATCCAAATCCTCTTATCGCGGTACAGCTACCTTTCGCCTTGAGAGCCTTATCATTTGAGAAGACATAAATCGACAATGGGGGCTGTCTGCAGTAGCAATCGGCACGTCAACATGGAATGTGCGCGAGGGTAAGAACATTGTTCTTGCCTATCCCTAACGAAGGCGATCGCAGCATCAATATCATCAACTGGGACGATAGGAAGGATAGGTCCGAAGATCTCTCTTAAAAGGGACACATTACATGAGTCTTCCCGCTCAAAGACATGTATGTGGGGACGCTTACTCTTTCATGGTAACATCGCCCGCCTTGACATCCTTGATAATTGTTGGAGCGATGTATCTGGACGGGACGTCTGCATCACCGCCAAGGACAACTGTACCATCGGTCTCGTCGATCAGTCTCTTCAGTCGCAGAGTATGCTGCTCTGAGACTATTTTCCCCACAGCCGCCGTCTCACGTGGGTCCTTGGGATGCATTTCTGCATACCTATATAAATATAAAAGAACATAAAACACGCACTCCGAAAAGATGATAACAGCTGTACTCACGCGTCTTGCAGAGCGTTGACGAACGTGTCCTGGAAATCCTTCGGAACCAGAGCATAGTCTGGAGAGACACAAATCTTCCAATCTGCCTCAGATCTTGGTGATATTTTGCATATTTCAATTACTCACTTGGCCCGTGTTGACGAGTTTCCCCCACATGAGCTTCTTCGCCACATGCTTCACGTCACACTTGGGATCTATAATAACGGGACATTTGCCTAAAGTGCATTCAGTACAGATCGTCGTTACTTCTAGATGGGGCCTACCGCCAAGCTGTGGGACCGGGGAGATCAATCCGGCGGAGACAGCATACGAATGGTGGAAGGACATACCTCGAGGGTAACGGGAGTCAGGTTCTCTGCTGCTGCCATAGCGATGAGTCTTCCAACACGCTCGCTGCCTGCGCAGGTCTGTTAGACCACGTGAGCAGTTTACTGTACGATATACCTACCAGTGAAGAGGACTTCCGATTGGGGTCAGTAAACCCGTCGCAAGGCTCATCACTGAATCACAACTTACTGTGGTCAAACCTTTGCGTCATGATCTACAGTTCAACGTAAGTATAGAATGAACTGTAGACGGAGAGTTCCACCTTCTTCGAGACAGGCACGTCTCCCAGTACGATTTGATACAGGTCGGTGTCTAGATACTTCGGCCACAGCTTGGCCAAGAGTAAATTGGTATGAGTGATGAGCTCCGACGGCTTAAGCATTACTGCACAGCCAGATGCAATGGCACCGGACTTTGTAGCATGTGAGCTGTCAATGGCGTTGAAGGTAGAAGTGAAAGACACACAAGGGGCCCTAATGACAAAAGAAGGGGGAAATTGAATGGACTAATGATTAGAACCACGCCCTTCGGCTCTTTCTTGACTGCTGGAGCCATGGCAAACCAAAGCATTGTCATGCGGGCCTTCTCGGTGGCGGCCCATTTACCAACGTTGTCGATAGCTTCTTTCACTTCGGCCAGTGAGAGATTGATCTCTAGACTACATTATGCAGCCTCAGCATTATGGCGTCGAATTTAGAACTACATGTGCTTACAATTCGGATTCATCTTCGTGCCGTCCAAGATCCATACGCAAGGTCTGGTGGAACTCCTTGGCATTCTCCTCAAGGAGTCGTGCCAGCTGCAGGAGTTGCCTTTTGCGGTACTCCACTGATCTACTTCTGCCGGACTGAAATCCGGCACGAAGTCTCTCATGGATCTGAAATAAAAACGGCTTCAGTAAGGATGAATACAGAACAGCTTGAACTCACTTTCTGCACCTCGTCGACAGGTGTGTACATGTTTTCTTGCATATTGGCCTGTGAATTGTCGAGCGTTGAGCGGCAGGATGCAACTCAGAGTGGGTTCGGATTCCCTCGGCCACACAAACAGCTTTTAGGCCTACTCGGATCAGGCATGAAGCAATTCACATCCGGAAGCCTGGAAGCGACCATTATCACAATTACTGGACAGAAGAGGGGTGATGTTTCCGTGGGGCGTTGGCATCTTTGTGACAAGGCCTCTGCCGCCCGCAGTTGATAGAGCCTTGTGTTGAATGAAGACACCGTGTGAGGGCGCCCTATCAGTGAGAATCACAGGGAATCGAGGTGCATGAGGGAACGAGGCTGATAAGCGAACACACCTGACATGGCAATGTCAATTATGACGCTCAGACAATGGTTCCCATCGTTCCGGCCCCGAAGAGCCCACTTCACAATCCGTGGAGTGGTCCGAGAGCAAAAATGAAGCGCAGGGGTCTGACGATACATGATACAACATCATCGGTCTAGATGTGTTAAGGAAGATTACCACATTCGTCATGGTCAGGAATAAGAGACACCACCACACACATAATATGAAATACTAGTCTGAGGAGCTATCATGGCAGGCGATGCGATGCGATTCAAATAGACCTTCTTACACAACGACAACCCCCGTTCCATCAGGCGAGGGCTATCAATATATGCCATAGGCATTGATTGAACGTCGTTAGTTGAAGATGTGATCACCGTAGCTCAACGTCTGAAGATCGGTAAAGGTGCGCCGGTGGCACCGCCTTCTGCGCCTTTCGTGATTGTAACATGTCAGGTGGGCCTTGCTCCGCGCCGAATGACGCGAATTGAAAGCCTACAATCAGCTTCCATTGCCAGTGGTTAAGGTTCAAACCTTCATATTCGGCTAGGTCACTGAGGAAGAGAACGCTCGTTGTGAACGCCGACGATAGCGGGCAAGGGCCGACCTGCTGAACGGTCAGGGGCATCATTACATCTCCGTGCGCTGGCGTTCTGGGTCCATCGTCGAGACTCTTCGACCATCAGTGGGTCAGACGAGACCTGCGGTGTCCTCTTGTAAGGATTCCCTATTGTGGGTCGGATGTGAATTCTGAGCTCAGAAACCCATTGCAAACTGTTAAGCCGAAGTTATGAAATGCAAAAGAACTTCGAGAATGTCCCGATATTTCACCACTGAGGCCGTGAAACCGTGGGATCGCGCTGGCATTTTCTGTTCGCGGTAGCGTCAGAAACCAACTTCGAGCCCGGTTGTGAAGGCAGCACGTTTCTCTGAGCGCCGCGCTCATCCATACAGGCCCATGTCACAGATGCTGGCCTATTCTCAGAGGTAGCCCCTTTTCGACTGGTGGTTGGAGCAACGAGGGTTGTATCGCCGCCAGTCGCCGCCTCTTACTGAAGCGCCGAAGCCTCGGCTTCTCCGGCTCGTCCCGCCGGCTGCTCGACCGAAGGCCGTGTGATACGGTCATCTTCCAGCACTGACACCGGGGAGTCAAGGCTGTCAAGATTCAGGACACGCAACCGCCTCCATTTTTCACCCAAGCCGTATTGCGTATTCTATTAGAATGTCAGGATCACTTGGTGTGGACGTAGCGTCCTCGCCCTATCGCGGCACGATCTCGTCTTTCTGGATGATGACAGATTCATACTGTTTGCCCCTAGTGATGTTCACAATCGGGCTTTGAGGCCCAAGCCCGCCGAACCCTGCTTGGCTGAGGCGCATATAGCTCAACACAAGTCCTCGAAAGACCTTCAAGAGGCCACGGAGCCTAGTGTGCAGGCTTGGATTGACTATGAAGCCAGGCCCGGTGGCCAAAAGTGCGGCCCAAAGTAGGGCTTTGGGCCCGAGCCGGGCCCTGAACAACACTATTTGCCCCTTGTGCCCATGGGTAACCGCATAAACACCGCTGCTAATAGGGACATGCATATTGTAAGTACGTGATGCTGGGAAAGCATTAAATCAGTGTAGCACAGCCGGTACCCTGGCAGTGGTCACTTCCCAGATTCGAGGCTATCAAACAGTAACCCACCAAATGATCAAACTATGTGGTCCGCTTATCATTAACAGGGCAACATAGTTGAAGACCTATTCTCTCCATGCAGTAGATTTGCATTCGCTATGAACGGGACGATCAGCCACAGGCGCAGCCGTGTTACCTGAAGACGCGGCGTTGAACGAGATAAAATCTTCGTGTCATCACTGAATCTCTAGCTCTTGCAATATTGATCGCGCAAGCGTCGGTCAGGTTACCACCGCTGTATCAACATCTCGAGCAACTGAGCAAAGTTTGGGAGCTGTTCATCTTGATTGTCGGCATTCGGGTTAGCTCCACCGACTCCTTTGCGTGGCGTATTTCTAGCATGTGGCCCACCATCGGGTATATTGCTGCTGAATGAGCACGCAAAGCTGACAATGACGTCTGTACAAGTTGCGTGAATGGTAGTCCTTTCGCTTCTGTGGTTCCTGAGATGATGATCTCGGTCAAATGAAGGAACGGCATTACAGGCAGGTGTCAACCGTGTCCTGATGCCGGAGAATAATAATAATAATAGGGTCTTTAACTGGCTCATCAATAATAGACAGCGGTGACGTACAACTGCAATCACCGATGCTACGTCCGAGGACCCACGTACACGCAGTGATTCCACTACTATCCCAGCCGAAGCAGAACGCGTTCCGCTTGATATCATCCTAGAGATTGCTGAAAGGTCCGCCGCACCTTGCTGAGATATTCCCCCCTCGGGTATCGACCTAATGAGCAAACTTGAGGGCAATTTTCGGTCTGTGAGCATGGTATGGGCGTGCATCAGTACATGACGCCTGGCAACCATTCTGACGAGTGTACTGACCCTGGCAATGTCCCGTCGTTTCCCGGGAGACGCTCATGGTTTCGCAAAGTCATGGAGACATGCTCTGGACCCGCCATCTGCCCACGCAAATTCTGCCGGACATTCAGCCTGGGGAGAAGTCAGCCAGTCATGTATGTCGAGGAGGCCCTGGGAGCGTACAGTGCCAGTAATGAGTTGACATATACTGGTGGCGAGCAAGGATATGTGAGCTCTGCACCCCTTTCGCCGAGCAACAGAAGCATCACGTACGCGCTGTGCCCGGGACGTGGGCGATCATCCACCAAAATGACAACTGCGTCCTGAAGCAGATGTACTAAAAACACCGTAATGAATTCTGTCGAACAAATTGACAAAGGGTTATCACTCACGGTGATAAAATGCGCCAGTTGGAAGAGCCTGAAACAAAACGGAAATGTGTGCGCCGTTGATAGTCATAAAGTTAGCGACATACGCTGTGAATATTCCGCGATTAATGGCATAGATGACCAAAGTAGCGATGACGTTTTCGGTCCTTGAAGTGGCCATCAAAGTTGTTGATGCCTATGAGTGTAGACAGGAGACACTCACTTCCTGATCCCAGTTCTGCGTCCACGGAGAATCACACATAAAGAAATTGTAATATACGCATCGGTTGCGAATGCAGCGAGTGTTTCCAGAGTTGCCGGAGCCTGTATTAGTGAGATATGTTAACCCGTACCGGAAGACGTGAAGGGCACGACGTTACCACAGAGGCAGGTATTGCGACGGAGAATAGCGGATTGTGGCCACTGCGGGGGTGGGGACAAAATGTATTTTAAGCAGTTATGTAGCGAGGTGAGGCGACAATGCTCACACTACACCCACAATTCCTGTTCATCACGAGCAGTCAGAAGGATCGTGAGATAACAGCTACCTGTTTACGCACCAACGCCACCCGCTGGCCAATGACGCCTGTCAGTTAAACATCACAAAGAGAAAAGGGGAATCCTCATACAGAAGGACGCAAAGGCAGTCAAAGTCTGACGAAGAGAATGTGATGAGAACCAGACCTCCCGGATAGATTAACTACCCTTACGCTTGTAACCGTCAACGGGATTTTGTACCAACGATCCTTCATGACTGCAAAGTACGCAATGTCCTCTCATGCTGTCCTCGCCACAGGATCTATGAGCGACTCACGTTTCCAGACGACATGAATATAATAACTGGAACACATGGAGCTTGAGTGAGCTGACTGCGACAAGACAGGAAAGCACGTACCATTGGACTACAAGTATTGAAAGTGACTGATTGTCATGAGTTGCCTTAGCCAAGAGGGATCGCAAACGTTTGACAAAACACGTACTGCGAAGAAGAATTCCATCTACGAAATGCAGTCGTTAAGGTTTTCTTCAGTCCGATGTACTATATGCGCACCATGAATGTGCTAAGCAGGCGCACAATAGTCGGAATATGTTATGGAATGAAACTAATGTATTCACCTAGTGCCAACTGCGAGCTTGGCGGGTGCGGCATGGCTCGCGACAAGTAGATGCCACGTGAACTGCCGGAGGTAGGTATGTCAGGATCTGATAATTACTTCAGTGTATGAACGTACCGCGCTATCCATTGCGGATCTAATGGTGTCGAGAGCCCTACAAGCCGACGACGCCGGAATCAACTCACAAGAAGACGACTTCCACACTTCTGCTCATACCATAGTGTTGCTGCCTATAAGCCATGATAAACGAGGGATTTGATGTCTTAATAAGAAGCGCAATTGAGAGTCGTGCTTACCAACGCCTTCAACCCCAACGGATCCTCACTGTAGCGGCGAAAGTAGATGACAATCTGTGCGCAGGAGCAGCCATAGAGTCTAATCAACAATGTCAATTTCACAGGGAGCTCCTACTTCGTGAAAAGGACATTACATGAGACCAAGAAGTACACCGATGAATGTACTCCCGGCAGTACTAGCAAGCCCAGAATTGGCCATGGGTTCGTTTAGATGGCACAGCACCCACAAGTTATGCTTTTGAGGAAAATGCCCGCACCGTGGCCGATTGCCGCGTAGCGAGCGCGGCCTTGTGTTTCATCTGTAGGATCCTGGTGCTTGATACAGACAGACCAGAACAATCTGTCTGATCTCTCCCATCGGAACCAAAGTACCGTAGATTTGGGATAGCAATACCTGTCCTATGGTAACGAGGCCGCGTATTTGCAAAGGCCATGGCGTAGACGCATGTGCACATAACCGCGCAGCTATCAAACGGAACGCCCAAACTTTGGGCGCTGTGCCTGGCGTGTCTTTGCTTCCGAGACAGAGGGGATGATGCGGTAGTGCGATCGGAATTCGAGGCCATGGCGAATCGCTGGGGTTGGGACGGCTTGTGGTCTTGTTCGTGCGTACATTGGGCTGCAAGAATAGCACATCATTCAAGATTTCCTTACGTCGTCGATCTTATTAAGCTGGCAACGTCACGTCAATGGGATCTGATTGCGTGTCCAAAATATGGACGTCAGGAACCTGCGTCTGTATCCACAAGGGAATCAAGCCTTGTGAAATAATCAGATTCATTGTGTTCGGCTGTGATTTGCGCTGTTGTCCGATGTTCAAGCATTCCTGATGCAGCATCCCCAGTAGGTTCAGATGAGCGCGCTGGCCTTTTATCCGCCCGTGGCAGAATGATGATGGGGCTACGATACAAGCTTACCTGATACTTGAGATTTTAGCGCCTGTGTCTCACATAAGCGGAGATCCACCTGATCCCGAAACCCCCGAAATGGGGCTTGTGTCGGAGTTTGACTTCCTGATCATGTCGGTGACATCATTGTACGCTTCGAGCTACCTTCCGGTAGAGGTCTGCCGACTACCCAGGAGGGCATATCGTCTCGTACCCAGACCACCGTATCCGCACGCAACCACCGCTGGTGGGTCCGGGTACGAGACAAGAGGTCATAGTACTATGGATGCCCCCTCAGGCTGTAGAAGGCCATATGAAACTTTGACACATCAATGTAACAGTGCCGTTTTGAATGTCCGCAGGGCCGGGAGTTGAACGTTTGCCTAGAAGCGCTTGGTTCCACGGTTATCGACAGGTCCATTTTCTGACTCCATAAACCTGAGGGGGCTATGGGTGGCGTGGGAAGCTTGGGGCCAAAGACAAACGCTGCATTCTGCGCATCATGAAAGAAAATCCTGCAAATGACTGTATCCCTACCAGAAAGCGTCTGGACCTCGAACAGGAGTCTGGTTTCGGCGCTCTGTAGTGCCATTGAGGCGCCGGTTGCGTGTTCAAGGTCGTATCCTCTCCGCCCTCAAGCCCTACGTCACGAACTAGATCGTTGTAGCTCACTGGGGTATTGATCTTTGATGTCTATCGATATCCAGTGGTCGTAGAAAGTGAGCTCTGTGTCTACTACATGCTTTGACTTAGCTGAGTCACGGCTTAAACAATCATCAAGATTCCCGGACCATGAACACAACACATCACGGCTCAAAACAGCGCTATAGACGGCTGTGCCTTGATACCCACTCACACCGGGACTCTGATGCTTCCGTTACGGTCTGTGGCCTCAGCGACTCCGGGGAGACAACGCACTGTCAGACTGTATTTGAGAATGTCAAGGCGAATATATGGGCGGCCTGCACGTTGTTGATGTGGAAGTTTAGGTGTGCCGATAGTACCGACCTTGCTGAACTTGATTGAGGACGTCGGACTGCGTTCGGTAAGCATGTCGTTCCTGCTTGTGATGTAGCGCTTCACAACGATATCACTTCCTGCAACAGCGCGGTGATTGATGCTAACATCAGTGGCTACAATTTGGCACGGAGGTCTCACGCATGTCCCAGCCCTTTCTCGTCTGGAGCTGTCCTGAACGCCCGCATAGGTCTAAAGATATAACGCTGGCCCAGTGCCCAATAAGAGTACGAAACAGCCAGCCAACCGCCATAGGATCCTGCGTAGAGCCGTACGTGAACGTCGCTCGTCCTATCTCGAGTATCCATGTTGCCTTCTGCCAATCTTGGTCCGTCACAAGATGGTCCATTTAGCCTGGGAGCATTCGCGATTGACGAATACAATCCTATCAAAGTGGTAGTCATCGGCGCTGGATTTAGCGGTATCGCAGCCGCGATTAGGCAAGTACAGACTGTCATGCCGGAATTCACCACTATGAGTCTTAGGTACTTATGCCCTTGGTCACATGTTCTAGATTTCCTCAGAGAGTGCCTAACCTAGATTTGACCGTCTATGATCAAAATGCAGGAGTAGGAGGGACTTGGTACTCAAACAAGTACCCGTGAGCACAACATTCTCGGTATCCGACTGGCAATAGTGGTGGCTAACAGTCCTTGACATAGCGGACTGGCATGCGACATTCCTTCTCACTGTGTGAGAGCCTAAATGTATCTCTCGTAGCCAATTCAAACTTACTGTTTGTACAGTATCAATATACCTTTGAGAATAAGGTAACGTGGCATCAAATTGCGTTTGTTCATCTCAATGATGCCATGTCTTGTCAGACCGACTGGTCTAGCTTCTATTCTACTGGATCTGAGATTCGGTCTTACCTGGAGTCCGTGGTCGATAAGTACAAGCTTATGCGCTATATTAAGCTCAGCCACCGACTCATCCGAGCGCAATACGACGAGCCTTCTGGAAAATGGCGTCTCCGCATTCGTCGCCCTGCTAGCCAGGGCAGCAGTCCCTCAACAGACCTCGAAGAGTTCGAAGAGTTCGATGACACTGCCGATATCCTCTTCATGGGGGTTGGATCCCTGAGTCGGTGGGGTTGGCCCGACATCTCAGGCCTGCACGACTTCAAAGGGTCGCTGTTCCACACAGCTAATTTTGACATCGGGGAGCAAACGTGGCAAGAGGCAACACAAAAGTGGAAGGACAAGCGCGTTGGCGTTATTGGCGTGGTGAGTCACAGCTGCATCTACTGGCTTCTGTGTATTTAATCCCGCAATGGTTTGACAGGGATCTAGCGCTATCCAGGTTGTGCCGGCCCTGCAGCCCCATGTCGCCCATATTGTCAATTATGTGAAAGGCAAGACATGGATATCCGTGCCATTTGGCAGCGATAAGCTTAGCGAGCTGCTCCATCGAGACCCCAACGAGGAGAACTGTGAGTGTTTTCCGTGTGTCCGGTATGGTGGGTATCGAGTGCAGTATTCTCCAGACATCTTCACGGACGAGGACAAGGCACGCTTCGCGGATCCCGAATACTACAAACGCTTTCGGCATGCGCTTGACACGGAGCTCAATGTTAGTGATGAACCATCTACCTCTCTTTAATGTTCTGACAGATGATGGGTGTCGACGCGTTCACAGGCAGTGTACCAGTGTGGTCTCAAAGACTCTGCAATGCAGCGGGGAGCGCGTGCTGCTTTCCGAGAGCACATGCAGAAGGCGCTTTCAAAAAAGCCGTGGATAGCAGATGACTGTGGGTCAACCTATCATGCCATCCAAGTAGTCAACTGAAACCCGCGGTAGTGATACCCGACTATGCAGTAGCATGCCGGAGGTTGACCTGTGGACCCGGCTACCTCCGTGCCCTGTGCGAAGATAACGTCAGTTGATCTCCATTATCTTGTTGGGTGGCTAATCAGTTCAATCCGCGCTGCACCTAGGTCGACTTTGTCACTACACACATCAAACGCATTACGAGCAGCGGGATAGAGACGGTTGACGGAAGACACGAAGAACTCGATGTCATAATCTGTGCAACGGGTTCGCCTCTCGTTCTATTCGTGCCTCCAGTTTGACTGAAGCAAGAACAAAGGATACGATTACAGCTTTCAGCTTGACTTCCCGGTTATCGGACGGGGTGGCGTTTCTCTTCAAGAAAAGTGGACTCCGCATCCCTCAACATATCTTGCCATCTGTACCGACGGTTTCCCGAACTACTTCATGGCATTTGGCCCCAGCTCCAGCCTTGCCTCCGGTTCCTTGGTCGTGCTGATTGAGCGCCAGGTGGATTACGCAGTCGAGGCGACCAAGAAGCTACAGAGGGAGCGACTCAAGAGCATTGAAGTAAAGAAAGCTGCCGTGCAAGACTTTGACGAATACCTGGAGGTGAGCAACCGCTTCATGCTGTCTCGCCCTTGCTTACGCGTCGATCCCATAGCATTACTTCCCGAAGGTCTGCGCCTCCAAGTCCGTGGTATACTGTATGATTGATGAGCAAGTGATAGACCGTCCATAGCGAGAAATGCCGTTCGTGGTACAAGATGGGCAAGGAAGACGGGAGGGTTGTTGCCCTTTGGCCAGGTAAGCAAAATATGTCTCGTGGCTCCAACTCTCATCTCGAACCCAATCAGGTTCGGCTCTGCATGCACTCCGCGCCCTTGAATTTCCGCGGTGGGAAGATTACAACTATGAGCTTGCCGATGGCGCGCAAAATCGGATGCGCTGGCTCGGGGACGGACAGACATACAACGAGAAAATGATGAAGGGAGATCGTATGCTCGCAAATCCTCATCTAACACTTGATACTCTTCTGATGCGCACGCGGTTATTAGGTGCATGGTTTTTGAACGATGACGAAATAGACGTTCCACCAGGTACGCCAAAAACGGCGCCTTGACAATGAGCTCACGTTTACGAGGGATAGTCCCAAAATGCTTAGGGTGATATCTTTTGCAAGTTCTCTCGCCGCTGTCCTTTAATCAAGTGTTACATACCTCATAATGCCACCAAGGGAAGGTATATTTAGATGCTAGATACAGTGCGAATCAAAGGAACGAGGCATCCATTGCGTACTTTAGGAACCTCAAATGTCAGCGTGTTGCCCCATGCTGAGATTGTACGCATCATTTAGCCACCGAGAGCTTGTGTACTGGTTGGTATCACGCAGACATTTGCCCCGAACTTTGTATATGTTGATTGAATGCTACGCACCATGCCTGGCAGTCAATCGCGCGTGTCTTGGTTCTACAAACACAGGAATTGTAAATAGCACTCTTGCTGTATGCACGTGGCGTGAGTCGCATTCAAGACTTCAAAAAACAGTATGCACGCATTTTGACTCGCTGCACAGCGTACATTGGCAGGTCTACCACGCACTGTGTGTATCTAACGATACACGATGTATCGTAGGCTACATACACTCAATCATGCATCCAGCACATACGCTAGAGTAGAACTACACGACCCCCCTAGGAATATCGATCTTTAAAGTCTGCCGAGCGCAAGCATCTCAGTGTCAGACAAACACAGGCGCATGAACTATTGACCACAGGCGGACGTACATAGTTGAGCTGGGCCATGCTGCAAAACAGCTGTGCCCAGATCCTGAACCCGATTGTGCTTACTAAGCTATCAATTTCTATAGAGAGATTGCCCGTCCCTAGTCTTACGCAAATTGACCCATGATTGCAGTGTGAAAGTCTGTGACGCAACTGCCAGATCAAGTGCTTAGTGCTCAGCGCTCAGCTCGTTGCGAGGTTGCTTGATGTGCTGTGGACCACATCGGAAAATGGGGGTGACTCGGTCGTCGTAGTAGAACGACCGAGTCACCGAGTCTACTCATGCATGGTCCCGAGGCTATTACTTTGTCGATATATGCTCATCATCACCACCAGCAGAGCATTCAGCAGCTGCCATCACTACCTTGCAAAGCACTCGAGCGTGCCGTACGGACAGTGGCTTCCCGGTTTCGGAGTAATTTCAACCAGATGTCGTCAGAGAATGATGGTAACGTCAGGGTGTAACGTTACTATCTTCCACGGGACAGGCGCCAACCCGGATCATGACATGAAAACTATCGAGTGTCTCTGTCGCTGTAGCTGTCATATAGGGCGAATCCTTGATTGCTTTAGTCCCTTTCTGTCTTTCCATCTGGTCACATAGCCACCGACCATGTCCGATTCTGTGAATAACCTATTAGGAAGCCTCCTAGGCACGTTCTGCTTCGCGATACTGTACGTCCTCGACCCTCTGCGTGGGTCGTAATAGGTTTTGGCTGTTCTCACATCGTCGCGACGAGTCAGCCTTTATGGAAGTGCAACCTCGCAGGCGTACAACTACTGGTGGAACTATCCGAACGACGTCAAGTTCCATCGACGAATAGTCATCTCTGTGTGGTCAGTAGTGTTCCACAGACTCTGCGAAAGTACAATGGGCTGCTCACCGCCATCACAGGCTCATTGATACGATACACACTGCGTTGTGCATCGCTTTGTTGTATCATTGGCTGATCATTGGCTACGGGAACCTGTCACACGCCGAGAACACTGTCTGGTGAGTCATTTTTGTCATGCCCTCTATCACACTGCTTCTGTTTTCAGATGATCTTACTGTCCCCTATCAGGCCTGGGAACGTGAGTCGCATTCTCGTGTTAGCATGCATACTCCAACAACGTTCATTGCAGATCACGATGTTCATGGAGGTCAGTGAAATGTCAAATGTATTTGGCATGGTATTCTATAAAGTTAATATATGATTCAGGTTGTGCTAGGAAGTATCGTGCAAAGGTAGAGGTCACGCCCTTCCTTCAGGATAATATTGCGCTTAGAAGAGCAGCTTCTATATCAGTCAAGTCTGGGTTTGTAAGTACCCGATGATCTATGCGTGCCAGCGTCTCATACTCATATATGCCAGGGAGTCAAAGAAGTGTACCATTATGCTTGGTGATGGTGCGACGATGCAACTATATAACACGTTCAGCGGCTTACCCTGGACACAGGCGGCAATGCTAAGTGCTCGAATAGGTACGTGACTGCCCCTGAAGCAATTCATAGCATCTTAACCCGTACACTAGCTCTAGGATTAGGTAGAGCCGGGCGGGTACATTGTATGATACATGTGGCTGACGTGAAACATGACCACAGGCACTTGTGTTCTCTTGTAAGTGCCCGATATTGTATATGATCGCTGCTCGCTGATATATTCCCGCAGATTCAAATACAAGACACTCAGCAGATTTGCCGAGAGTCAAGGTCCACTCGTGGGTTCACGCAAATAGGAGAATGTCATGCCATCTGACTCTTTGCTATGGCAGATTATCACAGTGTGTGGTCTTAGTCTCGGGGCCGCTGTCGATCTTATGGTATCTCTGTCGCTGGTATATCATAGGCTCAGGACACCGAGACGTGCATATGAGTACTGATTTTTGTCAATGTGATGCTTTCCTTCTGCTTAGATTGCGGATAACAGGAAGATGCATGTTGTTGAGATCCTTCAATCTTATGTGATCAACTCCGGAGTTCTTACAATGTAAGCCATGACTTTTGCCTCAGTCGCAGTTTATTGATAATCTGGATAAGGGTTATCTCCTTGACTATTGTGTTCCTTGTGAGCGCCCATTTGTTTGCAGTCACCTCATCCACCAAAGTGTTCCCAGTTCGCCTTGCAGCATGATAACTTCGTATATGTTGGCCTTGTCGAAGTACAAGCTAAGTGTCCGTCTCTTCATCAATGTCTCAGTGTGCCGAATCTCAATTACTGTTCAGTATATGCCAACTCGCTCTTTGCAACGTGCGTGGCGTGTCCTCCGTGCGCTGGCAAGCGTTCACGCTACTCACAACTACGTCAGTGTAACAGAGCGTGCCGCGATACGTGCGGCGGCGCAGGAAGAGGAGGTCTTCGAGGCCAATGGACAAGTGCCTGTGCCCCGTTCTCACAATTTGCCCTCGGTAGGTAACTCTCTTTACAACGAAAGTCATGGTGTGCTCATCCAGATCTCAGCATCATATAAGCTTTTATAAGCGAGGTAGTGGAGAACTCACAGTTGATGCTTCGGCAGTCACATCAGTGGTGCACATCAACGATGTTTATACGAAGACTAGACAAGGCGGTCTGTAGTAATGACGATGGGGTAACATACGATTCGACAAAAAGGCGAAGGTGCTGTCATGATCCATATGGCTCATAATTTATCACACGGTCCTCTTGCTTAGCCATCATGTCTTGAAACTGTCCTCGAAGCAAATGCCATCTGTGAAAATGCACAACCAGGACATAGCTCTAGGTCCAGTAATGTCCCTACCGGCCCATGATGCGATCTCATCATGATTCTCCTATGGATCTTCAGCTCTCGCAGCTCAATGCTGCATACTGTGTCCTGCCGGAGGCTTGGCCAAAGGCGTGAGTGTCAGCAGCATCATTGAGAACAGAGTGGCGCTATCACGTAGATAACTAAATGAACATCTCACTGATGCATGTCACCTTAGGCAGAATGGCAGAGCCCCCTTCCTGTATTCATCCGGTGCGCACATTTCCACCCTTATCGAACATGTTGTCAAGCCGTCCGCGGGAACAATATCCTGAACGATAAGCCACGCAGTCCAGACCTGAACTCAAGGTCGATCACTGTGCATCTCGACGTAAGAATGAATCTGGTATTGCCGAGGACGAACGCGTTCGGGGCGGTCGTGTGTCATATTACTGAAGATGAGTTGCTCGGTGATGGCGAGTGATATATAGAGTACACTGAAGACTGGACAAGGTAACAACGCCGTTCGCTGCGGCTTGCAGGGTGTATTGGCTCGTTCATGGCGTCCTGGCTCAGGCGTGGCAGATTCAAATAGAACATTCGGCTTGTCATTCCATAGAATCAATGCAGTACCGATTCCACAACAGACTTCTGGGCAGACATAATGGTCACTGTTGGCAGGCGTGCACAGTAATGCATGTATATTTCAGAGCATGTTCTCCTCTGATATCGTGCAGATATATGATGGAATAGTTGTGGGGGCTAGGTGGACTGACAGCGCATGAGCCGTATGATTGTCACGCGCGAAGCGGGACGCACCATATGTAAACCGCTACCAAGGCTCGGACTAGGATTCTTTCGTGTGCGGTAGGAGGCTTGCGCCTGCATATGACAGCACCGTCGCACAAGACTGTGACCACGTAGAACCTAAGTTGTGGGTGATCATGCAATTTGGCACGCCTTGTTATCGAACAGGTCACACTTGGCTCCTCTTGACAAAGACGGTGCTTGCGACGTGGTATATCTACAGTGCTTCCTCGACCTTTCGGTGTGAAGGAAGGCGGCGCCGAGTGACCGACGTGGGTGATACTTGACAGCAGCTATAGCGATGAGCAGAACAGAAGCTAAGCTGCCGGAAAGTATGCTCACATTGCGAGATATGGCACCAGAAATGTCTAGCCGGTCTACGAAGCTTGTGTCCCTTGAGCCTTCACGTCAGTCCCCGGCAACACGCTCTCTGATTGCGTATCTCTGTTCTCCTCCATCGTAGTGTGCAACATCCCCAGCCGAGTCATTAGTGTTGTTCGTAAGGGCGGTTTGCACATGCTCAGTTCTGGAACTCATAGCGACGCGAATGACAATCATGTCGAACTGGATTCCTGCCAGCTGCAACGTCTTTGCCACCCGTGATGAATTAGCAGTGTCCTGACCCTTCATAACAGGCTCACTCACGGGATATGACATGAGGTAACTGGTATCCGACTTCACGAGTTCCGTAATTAGCAATATTATTGAGCCAGCGGTCCGGAGCACGGCGGACTAGATGAGGATCCTGTTGAAAGTGGCGAGCGAGAAACGTTGTTCGCTGACTCCACCCACACTGGCGAAGTATTCTGCAGACTGCTTGTAAACGCGCGCAATGCGACATAACTTTATATTCTAGGTAAGCATCGCGCCAGCTTGCGGAGCAAACGCAAGAGAGGCTTACTGGTAATGCTAATATTAAGCCAAGGGGAAAGGAAGATCCAGAATTGTAATAAAGGGCTGCAGCTTTTGTGCGCTGACGCCTGTTGCAGATTCTAGCGTGGCCGGGTAGTAAATCCCAATTCCCCGCAATGGCACACAATGCAGCCGCAGACCAGATCAGCATGGATAGGCCTACGGGCCTGAAATCATGGAAATAGATGGCCCAGCAACGATAGACCTTCCTGGTCACTGATACTTGAGCGCTGCGGACGAGCCCCGTAGACGTTTTGCCCTCGGGACGCCGCATCTTACTTAAGCTGCCTAGGGCAGACTACGACATACCCACGAATCAAATCTCTGGAGACGCGCATACAAACACTCATCAAAAAGACCTCGGTGGCGGGCATGGAAGACCCATCGCACTGCGCCACAAGAATGTGACTACGATTGTAGCTTGCAGTGGCTCATCACGCCACGCTGGATGGCGGGAGCCAGTGAGTTCCTACCCCGTTTAGTCTCCCCTTCCTACTAGTGTCTCGTGAAGGCACCTGTGCATCGCCCTCCTCGCGTGTCTTCACAGCGAGCGCCGTGCGTGCTGCAGTGATACTGGGTTGTCGGTGCTGCTGGGCACAACGTGCGTCGTTCTTGCCTGCCGCCCTACTCGGGTTGTGGCGCCCGACTGGCTGCATGACTCAGATTTGCATCGAGAACGCGTTCCCTCAGTGACTAGGAGCAGGGCGAAATTTACGCTGGACAGCCGATAGCATTGCGCATGGCGGGCGTCTACCTCGGCTTATGTAAGGCGTCTTGCGGCGTCGGCTGTTACCTTTGCGCCTGTGTGGTACCCGGGTCGCGTTTGGTCTTTTCTACAGCTGCGTGCGCACGCTATGGAATACTAGTTACTCGGGTGACCTGCTCCCAACTTCCGGATGAGTATACGCCTGCCGGCAGACGTGGTGCTCGCGCGTGAATATTATCAACTTCCGGATGAGTATACGCCTGCCGGCAGACGTGGTGCTCGCGCGTGAATATTATCTCCCCTGCTCAACCTGCTGCGCTACCGGCTGCGGGGGAGGCCACTGATCCCATGCTCCAACCCTCTTGCCTGAGCTGAGCATGTTGCCGCTGGCGCCGCTGCGGGCGGCTGACGCGCCCATGGCCTGGGCTTTCCTGCACGGGTTTCAAGCATCGGTCTGCCGGGGGGTCGGGAGTCTTTTGGGGGCCGCTGGGCGGCAGTGGCGGCGGCGACGGTGCGAGCGTGCCGGGTAGTCCTTAGTAGCAAGCTTGGCGGGTTTGCTCCGTATAATCAAGGACTGTAGCAACCCTGATTGGGACCCATGCCGATAGGATATCCTTCCTCCCTCCTTTTAATTTCGATCGCAGCCCTTTCAAAGACGCATATAGTTGCGGCGACACTTACAAGCGCGCCATCTCCATCAACGTCGCTGTGGAATATGTAACGCTCTGGATTAATAAGGTGTGCAACTCAGCCTGAACACCGGTGGGTATGCACACCCACCCTCATGACGTTCAGCCAGTCCGATACAGCTACAATGCCGCCCGGACTTGTATAGATAATAATGAGCGAAGATCGTCATACAGGTTGAAAGACACGACAAGGGTCCCGACCATGAACAGGCTTAGTGTAATGCCAAGCAACTATCGATTCACCTAGACCGCCACTCTGCGCCTGCGAAAAAGCGTTTCGGAAGCAGAGGACGAAAAGGGCAGTCTGGGCGCCGTACAACAGGGACTACATGAAAATTGCGATAAGGCGCGCCTCGGCGATCGAGACAGACGCCACTGCAGTAATGACGCCTCCAAGGGAACGGAGCAAGATGCCTACTTATTGTGCCTTGTGCCGGACATATAACACAGTATTGGACTGTGAATTTTCACACTTTCTCACGTCCTGTCATCTCAGGGAAAATCACACTGTGCGGCTCATGCGGCTTCGAAGAGCGCCATTGACAACACTCTGTTGGGACCATGTGCATATCAATCTCCTCTGTAGACATATACTGATCCGTGAGAGCAGGACATGCGATCATACTTCCGGACACCTGAGACTGGGGAATACGCGGCTGAACCAGTTCTTTAGATGGTCTCATGGTCGTGCATTCGCGCACAACGATCTCGCTGGGAACCGCCGCCCTCGTTGAGCTGTCGGGCGACCAGACATACTGGCAGCCTGCCCGAGTTGGATTGTAGGATGTTTATCACGATCGTTGATATCCTCGTTCATGAGCCGCCCCTTACAGGATCTCCGCGTCCCAATCCATACATCAGCGCCTGAATGAAATGGTGTCCGGAGGCCTTGATAGATCTGTTCTGCCGAACGTCCGTCTGTATTCAAATTTGTGCCTGCGAATCCTTCCGAACAACCTTCGCAAGTCGAGCTCGTTGCTCTACTGAGAGCGATCATCCTTGCTCACGATGTCTATTGCCATCCAGTCCATCAAGGCGCACTGGACGACCGGGAAGACGTAGGACAGACAGATCCACCTGTATCATTATCGCATACGCCTTGCTATCTCCCAGACTTCACCTTCTCTTCAAGGCCTCAAAAAGCCTGTCTTCGTCCCAGGAAAGGCTTGGACCCAAACCCACCGACTATCGTAGCATACATCCTCCATGTCTGCGTTTCCCATCACCGAGGCTCAGATCGTCTCGCTCTTCATGGAGAGCGTGGGCTTCGGTCTGCACATCGCTACCTTCATAGTATGCCTTCGGACGCTCCTCGGAAACAGCAGAGGCGTCAGAAAGCCCATCAATTGGCCTCTACTTTGCATCGCCATCTCTTTGTTCATCGTCGGTGCTTATGATGTCGCGCTCAGTTTGTATCACATCATTGTGGCCTTCGTCCTTTACCAAGGGCCAGGTGGGGCCGCAGCCTCCCTGGATCACATCTCAAACTGGGTCAATGTGTTCAAGGTATGTCGATATACGATCAATAACTAGCATTTGAAACTCATCAAAATGCAGAGTAGCAACAACTTCGCGCAGACATTGATTGCGGACGCAGCTCTGGTGCGTCGGCCTTTTCACCTACTCTCGAGCTTAAGCCCCCACTCATTATTTCCAGATTTATCGCTGCTGGGTTATCTACGGCCACCGCTGGGCGATAATAATACTTCCCAGTATTGTTTGGGTCGCCGATACCATCGTGTCAGCAGTTGAGGTCTACTACACAGCAACTCTGCGGGCAGATAGTACTCTTCCGGAGGCGCAAAGAGCCAATGCATTTGCTCAGGCATACATATCGTTGACGTTTGTCCAAAACGTCATGACCACCGGCGAGTATTCGCAGAATGTCGATGTACCTATGTGCTGCTGACTAGATCAACCACACAGGTCTCATTATCTACCGCATTTGGACAGTGCACAAGCAGTCGTCTCGATACTTCTCCCAGAGCTATAGTACCAACGGCGCGGGTATGGGGTTATCCAGGATTAACCGGATCCTGATTGAATCTGCCATGTTGTACACCATCGTGGTGTTCATTACTCTCGTTGTCGACTTTGACAATAACAACTCCGTTTACGGAGTCTCTTCTTTCGTAAGCAGCCTGCTACATGTTCCCGACGCTCTTAGCTAATCAATGACGTACAGCTGGTCGAGATTGCCGGCGTGCAGTTTGATCTCATCATCATCCGCGTCGGGCAAGGGATCGCCACAGAGCACATGCAGACCGCTGTAGAGTCACAGCAGCTCGAACTTCGCATCCGCAGGGACACGACGGTGGAGAGGAGTGGCGGTAGCAAGACCGTCATGCAGTCCCATCCGTCCCACACCCATTTCGACGTCGAGGACTCAAGCTTGCATCAGAAGTCCCCTGGTCTCGTCGAAGATGCGCATGATGTCTGAAGTGTGACACACTATTTATTTTCGCATTCATGGTACGCTGTAACCTTTCCAGGCTAATGGGGTGTGATTATTTGTGCGTTTACGTGGTGTATGGGTTTATGTCTCAGTGCATTGTTTTAGTGTATGGCGTTTTGATGATCAATTTGATGGTGTACAATGATCAAAGTCTACGAAACGATGCGGACTACTAGGCTGCAGATCTGCGGGATTCCAAATTGCAACGCCAAGGTCACGGACATACGGATCGGCCAGTATGATCCTCATGACAACCTCCATTTACTGGTGGCCAACCAGCCAGTACGACCTCAAGGTGCTTGCAGCACTTACGCGGACAAACCCGCGTCTCCTCAACATTTCGCACACTGCGATAGGTGAAATTGCATGATCAACGTGAACTGACCGCCGGCGATGGATAGGTACTGGCATGGAGTACACAGGAACGAGCACATGAAGTCTGAATGATCGGCACGGTGAGTGAGATCAGATGTCATACGTATAGCAAACCTAATGTCACATCTCCTTCGTTATCACCGAAATATGTATATGTGGGGAACGTAAGCTATCAATTTGTGTTGCGGCACGTCCTTCCAAGCAACCACTCATAGCGCTTCTAGGAATCACCCATTCGTTCACTAATACGTCAACATTTTCGCACTGTGCTGTATCATACGCCACAACGAAGATGCACCAATAGGCATCAGAATCAGAAGCATTATGTCCCCTAGAGAGCTGTGCCTCTTATGCAGCATATTCTACGCTCCCAGATCGCGACTGCACCTTACACATAGGTCCGGGCACCTCTAGAAAACGAGTTCACGTCCCCCGACACAGCACTAAATCCATTTCAAAGCATAATTACGGACTGCCTGCACGCCACCCTCTAGGGTTGCCTTCACGCACGAATCGCCCCACTTGCGGGAGTGAGGTTGTCTCATTTTGGGAAACCTTGATGCGCCTCCGCATCTTTCGCCGCATATTGAGTCTTCCTAAAGTGACAGCCGTCAGTAGTTGCACTTCTGACATGGTGACAGTACGTACAAAGCAGATAGGGAATTGATGTAGACTAGTCGATGCCGAGGCGAAGTGAGCCAGTAATCAACTGACAACAAACACTGCGCGCACGCACGGATCCTGGGACATGCGTAATCATCCACCCGAACGCTAGTTGCTTCCTTGTCACAATGTACTGCAACTCATCAGGGTGAGCATGGTCAGGGAACCATAGAGGGCACTCACTATTACAAAATTGGGCTAGTTGGAACACTCTGTAAACGGATTCAGCACGCTGTTTGATCAGCCAACGGCACGGGTGACGTACGCAGTGAAGATTCCTCGGTTGATGGAGTAGACCACTAAGGTTCTGATCAAATTCTCTGTACTGTCAGAAATGAAACGGGCATGAGCTCTACAGTCATGTTGAAAACCGTACGTCTCGACCCCCGTTCGTTGACGCTGAAGGATAAGGCACAAACACACAGTGATGTATATGCCGGTCGTGAGACCCGCCATGGATTGCAGGGTCCCCTGAGCCTGTATGGAGACCTTCTCGTTGGTTTGAAAGTCACCGTAGTATGCGACACCACGCCCCTCGGCCGCAGGAATCGCGACAGCCATATTTGTGTTGTGGCGTCTGACCAAGGGTTAAAGAGGAGGACTGCATGGCACAGATTGATACTCACACTACTCCAACAATGGCTGATGAACTGTGAAAAGGATAGAAGGCTGGTTATCACGTAGCGGACTTACCAATACCAGCACCTGCGAGTTTCTTTGTATCAGAGCCAATGCCACTGAGCCAAGGGAAACTTGCAACGTACCGAAGGACACAGGCGCATCGCAAACCTGACGAGGATAGCCATGGGCGATTATCAACGGAGCGCGGGGGATATGATGCCTCGATTCACAGCGAGAATGGTGAGTGGTGCATTGTACTATGCGTTGAGCATCACTTCGAAGTCAAGGAAGTAAGGAGGTGGGGGAGTACATCTCTAGGATTATGTATAGAGTGACATACACTTCCAGATGACGTTGATATAGTGCCTGCGTTCAGGAAACAATTAGTAGACCTCTCATGAACAAGCAATGTGAGCGTGCATCTGAACCACGAACACCGACAACACCTATGGTACCGTCATAGGTTATGCAGACTGTGAAAAATGAACTGCTTACCGCAAAGAAGTATTCCATCTACACGACCAATGAGGCTTGAAATGCCAATGACTGTATTCGAATATGCTCACCATAAAGATGTTGTGCATCACAGGTAATGAGCACATCCTCAATGGCACTGTCAATACAACAAGTGTACCTTGGCGCAACTGCTAGTTTCATTGGGTCAGCATGACCAGGAACGAGTAAGTGCCATGTGAACATTGAACATTGAACATCAGATCGCTCTGAGGGTGTCAGGAAACTCTACATACTGTACTCTCGGCGGCTGTCCTGGCCGTGTCAAGGATCTTAAAATGGAGAGCCAATATGAGACAAAATTCATACAACACTTAAGTGTACCTTCCATAGTGTTGCCGCCTGTTGGACAGTGTTGTTCAGCCGATGAATTAAATTTGGATGAGTCGTAGACGCACCTAGAATTTCAGATAATTCGGGTCCTCCGGGAAATTACTTAAGTAGATCGAGATATGTGCGGAGGAGCAGCCATACAGTCTTTTAGGTAGAGCAATGTGTTCTATCAATTTTGATTACCCTATGATACGACTGAGGCGCATATACATGAGTGCAAGGAAAAGCCGGATGAATGTACTTCCAGTGGAATCGGCAAGACCAAAACCGCCCATGGTGAACAGTTGAAGTTCATTACGCAAAGACACCACGAATGACTACTTCTGAATGATATCATTGAGAGGCCCATGGGATGTGTCAGTATACACGACGAGGATCGCAGCTGTTCAATTGTTGTCTAATAGAAAGTGGGCAGCATCCACCGATTTGTTAAGCCGAGACAAGAAGCCAATCTAGAACCTTCTTCTTGACATTATCTGGAAAATTATTCTTACACTCACATAATGGCGACACGGGTAGCACGCTCTGAGACTGTCATCACGTTTAATTACAGATCAAGTATGCTGGAGATTGGAGTGACCGCGATCAAGCCGAATGGAATTTGCCGTGGCTCCACGTGTCCAGTGGCTTTACTACAGCGTACGAGGCATTATCATCAGTTGACCATGCTATAAGTCGCAACACCTTCACCTCATTCTGAGACAGTGGCTCATCCGAGACTATGGATGTTGGAAGAACTTCTCGTGGGAAGGCATTGTCCTGATCTTCCGCCCTGTAGACGTACTTGGCCTGAGGGAAATGCAGTCGACTGTGCGTGTGAAGGTTCCACGCATGTCCACTCGGAAAACACCCGTAATCTTCATCCGGAAACTGGGTCATTACCTGAGCTCGATCGCAGGTGGAAATAGCGGAGCCCGGGACAATCGAGCTGTCTACCGCCGCGGCAGAACAAGGATACCATAGAGAACTCGATAGCCTTCTGATCAGACTTGCGCTCAGATCTAGTGCTCGCGGCAAAGCAGATTGGCAAGTCTTGTTTCCTTCCATAATCATCGCGGACGTCGGAACTTTGCCGTAACCCATCTATCATGCACGAAAGACAAGAGTATCGCCGAAAACTTCGCGGACCTGATCCTTCGCAGCGACCTAGGTGTCAAAGTAGCGCCTGCGCGCAGAAGGCGCCAGGGCTTCATACTCCTCGCTAGCCTAAGGATTGGAACCTATATGGAGCTTTAAAGGTTCGCAAGGCCAGTTGCATCCCTATTTCCGCCCCTCGCTCGTCACATGATGGAAATTTACGACTCCCAGTTGCTGCAGACATCGAGAACCCACTCTCGCGGGGCCGTCAATGTTGCAGACAGCCTCTGGTCTCAGCTTACTGGGATATTACCTTCACTGACGAGGGGTCTTGTGTCGCGTCTTGCGAAGGACAATGTTCTAAGGTGCCTTTTTATCTGCTACTTACTCACTTCCACAAATCACCGCTCTATACAGGGCACTGAGCAACATCACGGAGGGGGAAATTGAGGTCGTTACCCAGGAAGAATCCTTCACATTTGGCGCACCTTCTGCAGTAGACGAGGCCCTCTCCGTGAAGCTGGTAGTGAAAAACGATGCGTTCTGGACGAGGATCGCGCTGTTCACCGATCTTGGCTTAGCGGAGAGCTATATGTGCGGTGATGGTATGGGCTCTCTGTAGGTTGTCGCATTCTTTCTGAACATCCACTGCAGTCGATTGCGAGGACATCTCTTGTCTCATCAGAGTAAGTATCGACATAGATTATTGTTTCATCAGCGCGAGTAACCCCTCCATCAGATAATAATAGCGAACCGCCAGAAGTTGGACCATCTCAATAGCTTTGCGTCCTCGCTACTCTTGATTGGTCGCCGTTTGACGGCGTACAAGTTCCTTGGGGACTTAGCGACATCTCCGGCCAATATTTCCGCCCACTATGATTTAGGTAACGCCTTGTATGTACGTTTGATCTTTTTAAGTAAAGCATTTCTCACCTCATCGATAGGTTTGAAGCATTTCTCAGCGAAGACATGAACTATTCGTCGGCCATCTTCCGGGACTTCGGTGAGGATCTAGGGCCAGTGCGTGCGCAGCCTCTAGAGTCCCTTGAATCCGCACAATTGCGTAAGATGCGGTATGTGAATCGTTGTGCCAGGGAATCATTACGGCTCGATAACATGACAACTCCCACGTAGGCTCATTCTCCGTCAACTGAAAATCCAGCCTGGAGATCGAGTGCTCGAGTTTGGTCTGTCGCCGCCCGTGCCTTACGTTGTGGTGGCCATCTAATCAGAGCCATCGTCTCCAGGTACTGGGTGGGGCGCTCTCGCCATACTTGCAGCCGAGACCGTGGACTGCACGATAGATACGATCACGCTGTCAACCGAACAGGCGGAGCTTTCCGCGCAGCTTGTCGCGGAGAAGGGACTGTCGGACCGCGTGCGCGTGCACTACATGGACTTCCGCGAGTGTCGCGACAAGCCCGAGTGGCAGGGCGCGTTCGACAAGTTCTTCAGCATTGAGATGGTCGACCACGTCGACAAGCAATTCATCCCTGAGTTCTGGAGCGTCGTCGACTGGGCACTCAAGCCACGCACTGGCGTTGGCGTGGTGCAGGTTATCAGTATGCCTGAAGCGCGTGAGTTGCGCCTGCTTACTTGTGTTGTCCTGCAATGCTTACCGCACCCCAGGGATACCGGTGTATGATAAATCGGGGCTAGATTTTATTCAGAAATGGGTGAGTGCAACGGCGTGTTTGCACATGTCTTGCCTGACAAATTCTCCCAGAGTACGTTTGCTACTTTCAAAGGTATCTCCAGCTGACGTCTTCCTCCAGTCTTCCCTGGATGTTACATCCCTAGTCTATGCTACATGATCGATACTATGACAGAGGGCTCTGAGGGAAGGCTTACGACCGACTCTGTCACCAATATCGGGCCACACTATGCAAGGACGCTGCGCGAGTGGAAGCGCAAATTCCTGGCGAATTGGAAGGACATTGCAAAGGAGCTCATGGACAGATATAATCTGGACGCCCGGGGACAGGAAATATTCAAGCGAAAGTGGATATGTGAGTAAACGTTCGTTTTCGAGACATTCAGTCAGGCTGATAGATGCAATCTCATAATCAGACTATTTGTGAGTTTGTTGCGTTGTCGCGAGGGCAGGATGCTGATTTGTTCAAAGCGACTACTGCGAAGCCGGCTTCCGAGCCCGCAGCTTGGGCGACCACGTCATTACATTCACGCGCGAAGCCAATTCCCAATTTGGCTGCGATCTCAACCCGGACTTCTAGTACTTTGAACTACAAGCTTGTACCATTCGGAGAGATACCGTCTGAAGGCTGCTGACACAAATAACCAGAATGACATCTGCAGTGAAATCATAATTGTGGACGCATGTACATCGTAAATTCACTGCTATTGGTCTGATGTGACTCTAGATCTTATGTGGCGAGACGGCTATAACATCATGTCGCTCCAAGTATCTCTATCTGCAAAATCTCTCAGGGCTCATCGTTGAATGGGTGAACCTTCATTGACATCGCAAAATTATCTAATCGAAGACCAACTTGACAGCGATGAGGCCTTCAGAGATACGGCGAACGAAAAGACCACAATAATCATCACTCTCCCTCCGCACCACAGGGTGCGTTACAAACCCCGTTCAGCGAGATTGGCCAATGAGGCGCCTCGGACGTTTTCGGTAGTCAACCCTTCATTTCAGTCGGAACATCATTCTCCGCGCGGGCTTCTCGGCTTGGAAGGGCTGACCTTACTACTCAGATGCAGAGCCGATCAAGCATGTTCACTGTCATTCAGTTCTTCAAGTGTTCTAGGTGACTTTTTCATTTACTTCTATCTCACGTCAATGACCTAATGGTCCATGTACACCGGAGAAGCATGGTCGCGAGAGGCGAATATCTATGCAGTTCCCGGGGTCTCAAGCGCCGGTAAATGCATCCGCGTCGATTCCTCACGCCAGTCTAAGCGCTATCCTCAGTCATTCAAGAACCATCTTGTCCGACAGTCCAGGAAATGAGTCAGCAGGATTGTGGGGTGAAACCGCTGCGATCGATTGTTTGAAGGTCGCCGCCCATCCGCTGATGATCCTGATACAAGTTGCGCTGGAATGTGGTTCATCCGTACGCTCTCAGAAGATGTCCAGCTGGACTTCTACAAGTGAACGGGCTGCTCCCGTGCTCTCATTAATTCTAGCGTGGATAAATCTAATATATTACTCGCCCCGACCTCGGTATGTGCTGCGCCCAGTTGATGCACCTCAGCGATCGAGTGGCTCATGACGTCATGGCTGAACGCGCTGCCAGCGCACCCCACCTCCCGGGGGTAAAATCTTGTGAACCGCGGATTGCTGCCTTCTAGCCTATGCTGCCGCGATCTCACCGCACCTTCCTGTTGAGATCTGTCCCTACAAACTGTTGATCATTCATAGCCATCTTAGTCAAGCACGGGGCCCTGCTATAGCGCAGCATGATCGCTACATACTGTTTGCCGTACATCTACATGCATCAATGAAGTTCTCTCCGTCGTCGCATGTATTTTGTCGTACCTCTGTGAGGCTATGAAGCATGTAGCCGCCAGCAACTTCTGTCACTGTTGCCTCGAGCCGCTTAATTTTTCATTCATATCCGGCCCCGGTCAGCAAAACATTTTGATCACCTGTTCTGGCAGCACCTACTAGATGATGTGTAGCAGGTCTGGTCTTTCTGAGTCAATGCTGTATCGTGATAACGCTGAGTCATACCTCCAGTAACGCTACACCTGCAACGCACCACGATCTGCCAACTCGTTGACGTCGTTCTGCCACACATGCCTCCCGCCAAATGCGTTCTTCGGCAAAGACTGCATGCGCGCATGAACCCGCAGGTACTGTTGTAGTAAATCGCCAGGCAGGTGCCAATGCCGCTCATTACTCTTTTACTGCCCCCAAACTGAGACAATAGCATGTCCACGCCATCTAGAATATGCTCTATAATATGCATGATACGAACACACGCTTGCATCTACGTGAGTCTGCAGCGTGTAGCATGCTAGCTGTGTGATTCAATTTGCAGCGTGATCGGTGAAGCGACATCATTTCCCGGAAGTGGGAGTTGAGCCGCAACCGCGACTACGGTGAATCAATTTCAGTTATGAAATGAGCGACCCATGATGTTACGATATCGTCTGTTCGCCGGTGAGAGTGGCGCAGCGATAAGGACGTCTCCAGCAAGACGCACCGGACTATATGCCTGACATCTCACTTCCGAAATCTGCCCGTCCGCGCGACCTTGTGTGAGAACGACGCCGGAAAGACCGCCGGCAGACAACATCCTCGATGGACAGGGATCAATGGTGGATTAGGTTACAAACCGATGGGGCTACCTACGGCGCGCGACGCCTACATAAGTCCTATTCCCACACCGGCGCACGACCACGTGACCCGGGCCGGCAGCGACGCTTGCCCGACGTACCCAAAAGTCAATACCTTGTCCCTATGTTCTTTCAAGGAAGGGAACCAAGACGGTCTCATTAGAAGCTCTGGTCCAGATTGTAAAGATGCAGAGACTCGGAGCATCTTACCGTGGGAATTAGCGTCGTTAGCCGAACCTTGCCCGAGCCTGTGCGCGCATCTATTGTCTAGAAAGATGTATTGTTTTATGGACTCTGTTTATCTACCAAAATGTATATTTGTAGTCGCGCATATCTTTGCATTCGGGGGCACTAACTTGAGATTTTAGAAACTTGCATCCCAACTAACACGACACCGTCACTAAAGTATCGTTCCACTGTCGCCCTTTTAGTCAACATCACCATGTTCTCACATCCAGACGTGTAGTACGGAGATCGGAGGTTGGATTTGGAGCGCCAGAACCGGGAAGACCCCGACTGCCCTTGTAAACTCCGCTACTCAATGAGGCAATATCGTGAGTGATCTAACCTATGGACGCATATCGAATTTGTCACCGCCACAGGAGAATTAGTACAATAGACGAAATCGTGACAAGCAAGAGGCATTGTTTGTATCAGGTTGTTTCACCAAATTTGAAACAGGCAATGGGCGATGAGGAAACAATTTTTATGGCAATGTCGTAGGGGGTACAAACTCGCGAAGGTGCGAATAATCTAATCAGATCAGATCTACCCTGTGAGCGAAACCAGGCTTGCCGTCGGCCCGTGCGAGTCCTCTCGCGGGAACGTTGTCCTCGCACGCGAATTTGATCCTCCCCGGCCGATTTTGATGGCATGCCTTACACAACCACCCAGGCTGGCCCAGCGTAGACGCCGAACAAGGTTCCAGCTTCAGGACCCGACATGGTCAGCGCAGGGCGTCGAAATGGAACAGCCTCGCACGACAGTGGTCCGCTTCCTGATGGGTAAACACACAATGCCAGCTACAGGTTGCGTCTCCTCCAGCGCCTCAGCGCCTCAGGTATCTCGCCACCCTCTCTGTTTAGACAAGCCCGTCTTTCCCGTAGGATACACATCGCGCACCCGGAATGTCCGCCTCCATAGATGAAGAGAAGCATTCATCGCAGGACTTGATGGTTGCTGCCGATTCAGGCTCGGCGGGAGAGCCTATCGAAGCTCCAAAGTCGGGCCCTCCAGACAACTCGGATGCGCAACAACAGGTTATGACGATTCCTGATGGCGGGCTGCAAGCATGTCTCGTCGTGGTAGGAGGGTATGTTCTGACACACTTTATTCCAATATATTACTAGACGGGGTACACCTCATGCAATAACATCCAGAGCTTGCGTCCAGTTCTGCACGTTTGGCTATTCAAGCTCCTTCGGTGTCTACGAGGATTATTATGTCCTTCATGGAGGTCTCACCTCCTCGAATGCGAGTTGGATTGGTTCATTGCAGGTACTTCGCCTCTTTTGACGCTGGGATACTACAATTGCCAACTGACTGCTTCACTGTTAGTTCTTCCTCCTATTCTCCCTAGGGCTGCCCACAGGAAAGCTATTCGATCTAGGCTACTTCCGCCACATGCAGATCGCCGGTATCCTCCTCTATGTATTCTCGTACGTTGTCTTGTGAAAGATGAACCCACAAGATTCTCGTGGGCATCACGCTCGGTTCAACTGATGCTGCTTTGCAGACTATTCATGCTATCCCTCGCCGATGTAACGCAATATTATCAGTTGATCCTCTCGCAAGGCATCGGGATGGGTCTGGGCGGAGGCCTGCTACTCGTGCCAACTATCTCCCTCCAAGCCCATTATTGGAAGAAACACCGCGCACTCGTCATGGGTATCATTCTCGCAGGTTTGTCATGAGCTTATTTCCATATTCAGATATGTTGACATTTCTCAATTAGCCTCCTCTTGCGGTGGAATCGTATACCCGATCATGCTCAACCAGCTCATCCACTCGAGCGTTGGCTTCCCGTGGGCTGTGCGCGCAACCGCCTTCCTCACGCTTGGCATGCTGTGCATTGCGGCCTGCCTTACTAAACCTCGTCTTCCAAGTGCAAAGCATCGCCCGCCAACCCCGATGCCGGGAATCAAAGGTATCTTCCAGGACCCGGCATATCTCATGACGCTGTTTGGGTAAGGCATCCTTCGTGGCATAGGTTCCCTGTCGATATTTTGCTGACTGCGTGGCGCTCGCAGCATATTCATGGTATTCTGGGGGTTGATGTTCCCTTGTAAGTACCCATGTCGGCATCTGGATTCTCTAAGCGTTTAGTCTGATGATCTGGCACAGACTTCTACCTTCAGCTCTGGGCCAACTTACACGGTATCTCATCCGCATTCTCGTTCTACACTGTAAGCCCGTACCCCGATCGCCCGCACTTACCAACAAGCTGACACTGGCCACGCATGTCCATCTTCACGCCTGCAGATTGCAATCCTCAACGCGGGCTCGATTTTTGGGCGACTACTCCCGAACCGACTCGCCGACTCGTTTGGGCAGTTCAACCTGATCTGTACGGTGTCCGTCGTGAGCTCCGCGCTGCTGTTTGCTCTGTTCGGCGTCAAGTCAGAGGCCGCGGTCATTGTGTTCGCGATCTTGTACGGGTTTTTCTCCGGGGCAAGTGAGTATCTCCAACGTCTCTAGCATTGTGCACCCCAAAGGGCCTCTGATTATGCTGACGTCGCCTTGCACCGCACAATAGTTGCGTCGCTACTCCCTCCCGTACTTGCCGTTATGGCGCGCTCGCAGTCAGAACTCGGGTGCGCGTTCTGTATTCTGTGGGGGACCATTGCTGACGTAGGGCCGGCGGCACGTTAGACTAAGGATTGGGATAGGCTATTTCGTCGCGTCATTCGCACTCCTCACTGGCAGTCCCATTGACGGTGCGCTACTTGGGCCGGAGCACCATTGGCCGAAGGCGATTGTCTTCAGTGGGGTACGTGCCCTATGGTTTTATGTCGCGTAACATGCGTGCTGATAGCAATGTACGCGAGGACAGGTGGTGATGTTCGTGGGCTCCGCTGCGTTCATCTCCGCCCGCCATCTCTTCGCTCGGACACGCAAGCTCGACCTGTTAGGCAAGTTGTGAAAGGCCGGGAAGCGAGTCGAGTAGACGGACAGCACGGATTGCGGTTTTAAATTGTTTTCTGTCCCGCGTGTCTTTCCCCGTAAAGTATTTGTAGCCTTGCCATATTGAAGCACCGCAGCGTTGAATCTGATGGCACTTTTCGGGGTCGCACTCAATAATTTTGATTACCAACAAATGTTCTATGCTGTTGGTACGCGAGGAAAGGAGCATCTTCCAAGGATGCACTTCATGAGAAATGGTGGGAAGCGGTTTTGTACTTGCGAAGATCAATCGTAATTCTGTTTCAGATACGTCTGTCTAAATAGGATGAAGAAAATACTTGCTTCATAGCATTATTTTAATGGCATCTGTGAGGTCTAGATGCACCCAGATCGGATTGCAAGTAAATACATAGTAATACATGACGATTTCATCGACTCAACCTGCGACGCTGCGTTCCATACATATGCATATGCATCAGCGTTCTAAATACGTACAAGCGCCTTCTCTCCGTTCTTGCGTAGCTCATCAACGCTCGCATATCCTGCCAGCCCAAGTGTGATCTCAAAGTCGGCAAGGACGGTCCGGACCTGGGCTTCTACGCCCTCCTGGCCCGCTATCGCGAGCGCGTACATGACCGGGCGGCCGTCTGCAACGCCCCAGATAAGTGATGTACACCAGCCATAGGACAGGACACGACGTACACAGGACACCCTGCGCACCGAGCGCCAGAGCCTTGAAGATGTCGCTGCCGGTGCGAACCCCAGAGTCAAGCAGGATGGTGAATCGTCCCTCCGCCTGTGCGGTTCGCACGATCGGGCTCTGCATGATCTGGTGCAGGCCGAGTAGGGACGAGATCGAGCCGTCGATTTGGCGACCACCTGGCGCATTGTCAGTGCACCGCAACGCTTTGAGTTGGAATGCAGGGCTGCATACCGTGTGTAGACACGACGATGCCGTCCGCTCCGTGCTTGATAGCTAGCTCCGCATCCTGGTCAACGGTGGGGTTAGCAAGGGCTTCAGGGGGAGAGATAGCTGTGCACGCACCTCAGCACAAAGGACACCCTTTATGATTAGCGGGCCCTCCCAGTGTTTCCTCAGGTATGCGAGGTCCTCCCATACCTTTGCCGGGTCAAGCATCTCGCCAACAAACGCCTGCCCCGCCTTCAGGCTGTCGGTGGCGGCCTTGTCTCCCTGTGCGATGAGCTCGTCCTGGCGCGCAGCTACATACGGGAACTCGGGCTTTGCATCCGGTGGGAACACGTCCAGTCCCACCTTACGCATAAACACGGGGTCTGTCAACCCGACTTGCGCACCGACGCCGTGCCCGAACGGCAAGTACCCCGTGTCGAGATCGAACGGGCGCCAACCGATCATCATCGAGTCGACGGTGAAGACGATCGCGCTGAACCCATTCGTCTTCGCGCGGGTGATAAGAGAGTGCATCACGTCGTTCGTCTTGCCCCTGTAGCGGCGCGTCTTAACAAGCACGGATAGGCAGGGCGTGCGGATCCACGCACCAGTACAGCTGAAACCAGCGTGGCCCGGACCCATTTGCTTTCGCGACGGCTTCGATAGAGCGCGTCGATGCAGAACTCATGATGAAGGGAACACCGAGCTTGCCCGCTGCGGCAGAGCTGGCTTCTTCAGCATCGGCATGTACAATACCCTGTGCTCCTACGGGCGCAAAGAGTAGCGGAGATGGGTACTTCACTCCAAAAAGTGTCGTCTGGGCAATATGTCGTTCGAGCGACGACAGGAAGACTAGTATGTGAGCACATACCTCGCTGTTGCGACCCGCCACATTCCGCAGCACGCGTGGTACGATCTTCCACCTTTCAAATTCCTTGCGGTTCTCTTCCTTTGTAGAGCCTGTACCTGCGCTGCCGAATACATAGAGGAATGCGTCTGTATAGGGCAGCATGAGAGGCGCGTTCGCATCATAGTGACACTTGCACGTACCTGGGGATTCTTTGAGCTTCTCGCGTGCAATTTGCTCGAGCTTGTCTACACCGAAAGTGCCGAGCACTGGTGCGCGGCGACTGGTATAAGACGTCTTTGCAAATGTCGACCACACGGATGACATAGCCGAGGCTGTAGCTTCTGCTTGCATCGAGATGTACGGTAACTGCGAACTGAAATGGCGAAACGTTTATATGAGCGAGACTTGAACAGGAGGCGAAATTTCGCAGGCGAGAATGGGGATGAAGAAGTCTGCGGACCGACTATGAGGGCCTTGGGGGCGGGATTCCTTACTGACTCATACGAGAGTGAGTCTGCTCGCACACATGGTCTCAGAGCTGCAATGGATATGACTCTATGATGATCAACTTGGGCCAGAGCTGGCAAACCTGACATCAAACGCACAGCGTGCATCTCCGAGGCTCTGCCCGAAGTAAACCCCTGAGGGAAGGTAAGAGAAGTCGACGGATCTTCGTGGCATCCAGAGGGGTTTTTACTACAACTCCGTGTTCATCGCAGTTGAGCGTTCTTTCACCTGCATCTGAACGGCCCCCGTATAAGCCCCTTGATTGTCTGAGTAACAAAAGTCATCGAGCGCTCTAGCCACGAACCACGGCGTGGGATCAGAATGCAAGACCATCAAATTCGGCCCACCACAGCCGATCAGGGCATCAAATTCGGTGGGACCCTGGATACCCCTGGTATTCCACGTCTCCTGCGACCAACTCTTTCGACTGATCGCCTAGATTGCTCCTGCGTGACCATCGCTGGTTTGATGGACGTTTATACGTCAAACTTCGCAACAAGTCTTCTTGTCCGGTGGTCTCGTTCGATTGTTCTGTATCAAGGGAGTAGTACTGCTTCAGTCCTCGTTATCGCCAGCCAAAGCCGCGCTCATCAGAACAGACACTCTGGGAAGGCTAGGCGCTACGGCAGCGCCTAGCCTCCCCATTTCGTGCAGTATGTAGTCATGGATCGAACCCCTACAGTGGCTGTGAATCCTAATCGCAATGCGAAGCGAGCTTTGCAACCACCCGGCGTTCACAACGCGCGCAGAGACCCTCAGCTACGAGGAGCGCGTCCGTCTCGTTTACCAGAGGCTAGATGCGCTGCTGGAAATCTACAGTAAGTAGACATGCGCGTTCACCCCTCGATTTAACACGTTAAGCAGACGAGACAGAGTACGCTCTCGATGACGTTGAGACGCTATCCCCCAAATTCTGGGAGCCGTACAAGGACCCAGCCTTGGTCATAGATGTCGGGTGCGCGAATGTGCTGGCGTGCCACTTGAATCTGTTCTTGGGGACCATCCTGCCGATGAAGTCAGAAAGGCCTGACCTTCTGCCCATAATGCAGCAGATCCTGGAGGGAGAAGTCATCGGAAACTTCTTGCTGACCGAGCTCGGACACGGGCTAGACATTACAAGGCTCGAGACAACGGCAACGAAGGTCACAGACGGCTATATCCTTCATACGCCCCATGGAGGTGCGGCGAAGTACGTGCGACTGCGTGGAGAAGTAAAAAGTGCACTGCGCTAATTCCTGGTGCTCAGGTTCATGCCCCCGACGACGCCGCACCCAACACGCGCCAAGATCAGCGTCGTCTTTGCGCGGTTACTCGTGGATGGTGAGGACCGCGGCGTGCACCCGTTCCTCGTACCGACCTCGGATGAGCACGGGATGTGCCTAGGCATATCCGCAACAATTCTCCCGCCGCGCAGCGGGACGAGTCCCCTCGACTACTCGCTGACCTCGTTCGACCACGTACGCCTGCCGCCTGCCGCGTTCCTCGGGAGCGCGCTCGATGCGCCAGCGGACCGGCACGCGCTGCTGCTGCGGTATATCTGGCGCACGACGGTCGGGCAAGCGTCGCTGTCGCTCATCGCGATCACAGGGACGAAGATAGCGGCGTGTCTGGGCGTCGAGTATTCGCTGCGGCGGATGGTGCAGGGCAAGCAACACGTACCCACGCCGGTGATGGGCTTTCGGACGCAGCAGTTACCGATGGTATACTGCACCGCAGTGGCGCATGTGCTCGACGCGTGGGCGCCCCGGGTGATTGAGCAGTTTGTGAGGACAGACATCGACGTGGAGGTGCGCGGTGGGCTTGCGGCGGTCTTGAAGACGACAGTCTGCCGATTCGCGACGCACTACTACCGGGAGGTGGGTGAGCGCCTAGGGGTGCAGGGCACGTTCGGGCATAACATTGTGAGCCAGATCGAGGTGCGTTATATGCATGCCGGGTAGAAAACGTGTTGCTTACACCAGCTACAGATGGACATGCGCGGGTTCATCATCGCGGAGGGCGACATACGTGTGCTCAGTATCCGACTGTTCTCGCAGATGCTCCAGGGGAGGGTAGCGCTCCCGATGCCTTCGCATGGAGACTCCGTGCTAGCACAGCACAGCGCTGGTCTCCTCGTGCGCTGCCAGAGGCTGTTGGCGGGCCTCGAGCTCGGACACCGCGACCCGCGATTCAACGACCTGATTCTCCCCCAGTGCGAGCCGGGCATACTCGCATTAGGCTGTGCATACGCATATGGTGCCGCGGTGGATGCGGGCGTGCCGCAGCCGCTCCTGGATCTCTTCGAGCTAGCCGCGATGAAGTGGGACCCGTCGTGGTACTCAGAGAACACAAGCCTTTCGGATGAGGTGCGGCTGCTGAGGGAAGACCGGGCCGTGCTCGCGGCCCTGCCGCACATCCGGGCGTACGTAGACGCGCTGGGCGTACGTGATTCAATTTCGGCGCCTATCCTGAGCGACGAGGCATGGCAAAACTGGACGCGACAGCTTAGGTCGTACGTCGGAGGTGCAACACGTGACAAGGTGAGTGTCCTTGATGACCGGATGATTTTGTATGCGTTCATGGACACCCTCGGGCATTACATGCAGATATCTCTTACCGGGGTACCGACAGACGATTCCAAGGCCAGGCTTTGACATCCACGGGAAAGGTGTTTACATGTTCGTTGCATTGTGGGAGAGCACTCGGAGGGATGTACCGTGTATTCCGTAAGACGAGGACATTTCCAGGTCCCATGGGGCTAGTGCCTTAAGGGTCAAGGTGGGTTGAGATGCACCAGCCGAGATGCCAGCTACCTTGAAGCTCGAGGTCACATAATAGCTGATTCAATATTGTTATACCTTCTCGAAAATAGTTGTGCGCAAGCGGGGTTGATGCGGCACTCGAAGCCAACGGTCGGGACCATGGACCCAATACGTTGGTTAGCATTTAATAAACCGGCCCTTCACCTCACCTCGCGGCAGCGCTACATGGGGCGCAAAGGCTGCGATCAGTGTCTCGCTGCTGACATATCCTCTTGAAAGTCGGACATACCACGAGCTCACGCTGAAGAAGCCTGGCATGTGAATTGTTGCTCCTTCCATCTTTGATGAGGACCTGCTGGATTCTCATGTGTGAGAGGGGCAACAACCCCGACTCAGATTACGGTTGCAGTTGCCTGGTGCTTCTCCCGATCAATATTGGTCATTTAGGCGCCCGGTATCGCCGGCTGTCCAGGCAGTGTCCTTGGTTCCGGATTTTAATAGTGAAGCCCGACACATGCTGGTCTGGTGGGTAATTGATACTTGCCCGATCGGGAATATTACATCCCGAAGATAGAACTTGGAAGCGCCCGTGGTACAGACGGCACGCAACTTGATGAGTATAATTACATTTCTGAATGTATTTTCCCCAGCTTGTGATGCTGGCACTTCAAATAGGACACAGCGCTCACTATGAGGAACAGCGAGTGCGAAGGGCGCGACTTTCAAGTCTCGGGATGGGGCATGGGAACCCGTATATGGGGCGCCCTGGAATTAAAATTGAAAATATTAAACGCCTCGTGCTGAGAGCGTTTGATACATTTTAAAAATATTTCTGCACGATTGCCTCGGAAGGGAGTTAGCCAGTAAATTAGGTCCACGTTGAGTTTCCTTAATATCAAGCGCCATCTGATGACCTGCACTTTCGACTCTCGCCGAGTGCGTACCCCGCTGCCAATGCCGATGACAGCGTACCATGGGGACTGCAATTTGGCTGCTACGATCTTTGTCATCGATGGCTTTCTGATACAGCACTGAGTCAGGATGGAATTGAAGATCAGTCGTACCCACACAAATGTTGGAATCCGGTGGTTTACAACTTCCAGCGCGGGATAAACACGGGTTGTACTGAAAGCTTGACGGGGAGCTTCTAAGGCCGCGAGTGACAAATCCTCGGCGTCTAGACCAACGTAAGTCCTGTCGTTCATCCTTCTATAATAGCTTGCTGAGGCTTTTAATCGCTGCATGTAATGGTCATAGTCGATATTGCAGCCGTTCGAGCTCACTGACGGATCTGATGTCGTGTCTCACAATATTGTACGACCTGAATGCATTAAGATATTCAGCCCCTCGAAGCATAGGTGGATTAGCGCAGAGTGAGATTGGATCATCCCACAGTTCAACCAGAGCGCTGACGAAGTCACACAGTACGATGATGATCATACCCCGGCGGAAGCCTCATGGTACGTTCCCTCGAATACGATTCGCTCCGCTACTAGTGCCATCCCATCAGAACCACCAGATGCACCTAACGTAGTTGATATAGAATCCTCCTATCAGCCCGTCTACATCTCCCGTTCTAGTCCAGAGACTCTGGTACCTCATATCCGTGAGCGAAATTTATAGCAAACATCCTGGTGTGTGAATGTCGGTGTTATCGTCTTCGTCTTTCATTTCATGCGCACCCTTATACTCTGGATGTAGATCCTCAGTTATGACGTGCTCAACTATGCCATCCGTGAATTCTGCCCTAGGACTCCAGTCCTTTCCGCCCATCAAAGGCATTCAATGGTTCAACGTCTCTATCCTCATCTTTACCCCAGCCTTGTCACTTTATGGCTTCTTTACTACTCCTTTCCTCAAACCGACAGCTATCTTTACAGTAACACTCTACTTCGTAACCATGCTAGGTGAGCATAAGTCAACACACTGCGGGCATCTCGATGTTAATGAGATCCTTCGAAGGTGTGACCGCTGGTCAGTTTCTCCTTCAAACAGGATGCTAGGCAATTATTAACGACTGTTGATACAGGCTACCACCGCTTATGGTCCCATCGCGCGTATAAGGCGTCGAGGCCTCTTCAAATGTTACTTATGCTTGCAGGTTCTTCCGCCGTGCAAGGTTCTATATACTGGTGGGCTCGACGGCACCGGTCGCACCATCGTCACACGGATACAGATAAGGATCCGTACAACGCACAGCGCGGCCTACTATGGTCACATGTTGGATGGATGGTGTTCCGAACAGACATCCGCCCGGGGTCTGCCGATATCTCCGATCTGGCGAGGGACACGCTCGTGCAGTGGCAGCACCGACACTACTTTCCAGTCGCGCTGACGACTGGCTATGTACTCCCGACGGTCATTGCGGGTCTGTGCTGGGGGGATTGGTTAGGTGGACTCTATTTCGCGGGTGCGCTGCGTATGACTATTTGCCACCATGTGAGTATCCGCGAACGGCTTTCAACAGGATGAGTGCTCACCAATGTGATAGAGCGTGTTCTGCATCAACTCGGTCGCGCACTACCTTGGGGACACGCCATACGATGACAAGCACTCACCACGGGACCACCTCGTATCCGCGATTCTCACGCTCGGCGAGGGGTACCATAACTTCCACCACCAGTTCCCAATGGATTATCGCAACGCTTTCCGGTGGTATCAATATGACCCGACTAAGTGGTTTATCGCTATGTGTCAATTTGTAGGGCTTGCGACGCACTTGCGCACGTTCCCAACGAATGAGATTCGGAAGGGCTACTTCACGATGCGCCTGAAGGAGCTCAAGTCGATGCAGGACATGCTTCGATGGCCCGTTTCTGCACGGGAGCTGCCGGTTATCCCTTGGGACTCGTGTGAGTGGATACTAGTCCTGTCATCCCGCTGTCTTCAGGCTTATGCAGAACAGTGCAAGAAGAATCTCGGAAGCGTACTCTTATCCTTGTCTCAGGATATATACACGACGCGACGGCATTTATCGAAGACCATCCTGGTGGAGCTAGGTTAATATCTGAGAACACAGGGAAGGACATGACCGCAGCCTTTTTTGGTGGAGTATACGAGCATTCTAATGCGGCACATAATGTAGGTGAACAGTATCTCTCCAGGAGCATTCTTCTGATCGCTCTCCGCAGTTACTCGCCATGATGCGGGTCGGGATCCTAGCAGGCGGCGTCGAGTGCCTGGGAGAGCAGCATATTCCAGCCTCGCAAGCACTTTACATCACACGCACAACACCCAGTAGCGATATACCATCTTATCATCTCGCGAGCCCTTGACGTCTTGCTCTGAGGATTCTACCTCTAATGCAGGTCCTCACATGGATCTGACGGTTGCGACTTTACCTCGCCTTTCGCACAGCACAATCAATATATACTACTTACGTATATATATGAGCCTTGTCAGTGTTGAGGGCAGTCTCCGCGCGGGACAAGACTTCCGCACCTTGTGCTGATGATCTGCTGCGTGCCAAGACAATCGGCTGCTCAGTGTACCACAAACGCGAGTAGACGTACCCAGACGTATATCAGGAGAGCTCCACGAACCGTCGCTGAATGCGAGCGAGTTCACCCAGCCGCGACACAAAGATCGCTGAGAAGGTAAATTGCATGGCCAGCGCCAGCGGCTGCGTCCTCCCAGACAGCGCCGAGCCGGTGAAACGCGATGGCGGGTATAAAGACAACCTGCGTGGTATGCGTGAGATACCAAGTCGAGAACGACGTGGGTGCACACTTCTCGGGTATCATGGGCAGTTCGGAGATGTGCTGGCAGGTCGAGAGCTGTACAAGATCGCACAGGGGGATGACGTCCGCAAGAGCGGCCGTGCGGAAGGCCAGGGTAAAGCCGTAGACTGTCGTGCGTGGTTATGCGATGAAAATTGGTTGGCGGAAGATAGGGTAACTGACGTTTCCTTCGCTGGTCTATTTCACTAGTGGGATGCATCTGTAATACCGAAACTCTAGGTCTAGACCGGAAGGTGACGTCCTGTCTTCTACAATGGATGTTTTGTCGAGGAAGGAAATCACTTCCTGACTTGATTCAGATGATGCCGGTGTGGATATGATACGTGCCATCTACATGGTATTGGCCTCCCTAATAACTGATGACTCACCGTACTACCGCACGCTATATACCAGCCATTTCACGATGCGAGCTTCAGTTGACATTCCACTCACTGAAGCTCGTAAGTCCTTTTCTACCTCTACGTACTGTACACATGCTGATCGCCTGTAAAGTGACTGAACATCGTCAGGTACAGTAATATAGAGTCGATATTGGACTCACTGAAGCTCTGACGCCGCTCGTACCTCGTTAAGAGAGAGCTCGATCGTAATTGGAGACTCATGGACTAGCAATGGCCGCACCATGATCAAAGATTATTTGATCAGAAGACAGTTACAGAAGGCGCCACCGAACCAAATGTAGAACACTTGGGCTGCAATAGCCGTGTCGATGGCGATGACCTTGCTCTGATGAACGAGGATGCTATAAAGCTCTGTCTGCAGACTGACTGAGAAATGGTCAGGTAGATGATGCTGTACTGTGGCTCTAATGACTTGATTCGAGGATCTGCCCTTGCAAGAGGAAATGTGCGGAGATCGAGCTGGAAAGTCACAAATTCGGGACCCCGATCAGCGATTGAGGTAGTACCAGGGCGGTGGTCTTGGTTTCTGTAATTGCGCGCCTCCTAGTTGCGATAATACAAAACGAAGGCCACGCTGGGCCCGATGCCATGATAACCTCATACTGCAATCCAAAGGACGGAGAAGAGCATCCACGCTGCGCCCCTTCTTCTGATGTCGTGGCAGGCGCGGGGCAGCTATATCACATGGACATAGACATGCACTAATATCCGTGTCGAGCCTAAGCTATCTCAGCCTTCTCAGGCTCATCGTCCCTTCCCTTGTGCTCCTGCAGCCCCCACTGCTCGTCCATCGATGTTCGCATCGCGATCTCCCGCATAAGCAGGCACGATAGTAGACCAAGTCCAGAGACACCAATCATGACGCGCCATATGATAGCCGTACTCTGCGCGAAGGCGGCTTGTACCTCTGCCTTCAATGACAACGGCAGGTAGCGGATCTCGGGTATGATGGAATAGGCAAGCTGGGTGCCGCTGGGCAGAGTGGACACGAAGGTCGCCGGTAGACGTTCCCTCAACACGTTTTGTAGTATTGCCCCTCCGATCACGGTGCCCCAACTCTGTAAGAATGGGTTTGGCGATGCAGCGCCGAAGAGCGACTGGTCACACACCTGAGCAAAACACCGAATGAACGTGAAGAACGCGAGCGCGTGTGCGTTGTTGGAGAAGGGCAGGGGCGCCAGGATTGGGAACTGTGTCCCAATCCATATGATCCCAAGCCCAATTCCTGTTATAACTTGATATCCGATATACTTGCCCTTCGAGCTGTCGACCTCCAGGGTCGATAGGAGACCAAAGCCGACCATAGTCAGCATCCACCCGACGTAGTTCTGGGGCCTATAACGGTGGAATATTTGCACGGACGCCCCCGTGAAGATCGCTACGGGCGATATGACGAAGGCAAGACCGAACAGTTCGACGCCTGATTGTACGGGTGAATCCGCCTTCGATGCTTGGAAGTATACAGGGAGGTAGACTGAATGACACGTTCGTCGTTGAAGCAGTGATTCAGATTGATATGCGCTCACATATGACGGCCATGGACGCAATCCCGTGAAAGAAAGTGCCTAGATATCTGATATCGGCACAACAAGAGTGAGTCCAAAATAACCTGCATAAAGATGAGCAGTCACACGCACCCGCTGAGGGTTGTTCTGTTATTTAAGACGAACGGTGGAATCTAAGCAGATACAGAGTTCAGCGCTGCAAGCACTACATGCGTGCGACTTACGGTGGGATCACGAATCCAGAAGACATCGAGGACGAAGAAAACGATGAGGCCAACAGCACCGAGACACAGGGGTACTAGGACGTGTACGGATACCCAGGTATAACGTATACCCGCCCACGTCAAAGCTATCATGATCGACATCGTGCTGGAGATGATGATGAAGAGTCCTCTACGCGACCGCCAGTAAATTCGCGCAGGCGAGGTGTCAACGCTACACTTACAGCCAGTCCATGCCGGAAATCTTGTCCATGAAGCTGGCCTTGGGGATGTGCACATTTAGAAAGGCGGTAACGAGGGCGAGGGCGATGCCACAGAGGGGTAGGTTGAGGAAGAAGAGCCAGCGCCACGCGCCAGAATTTGCCAAGGCCCCTCCTATGGGCGGACCTATTGCGCTGTGCAATGGCGATATTAGAGTGCGAGGCGTAGACAATGAGAGAAATTATACACTACCAAGCCAGCGCCCAAACCCTGCAAAGTCATTCTTGTGAGGATGTCTTCGCTCCAGGACGAGCACACTCACGATGCAGTGATCCCGAGGAATTTGCCTCGTTCTGGTAGGGGTACCAAATCTGCGTATATAATCTCCGTGACGGAGATGCAGCCTCCGCCGCCGAGTCCTTGGACAACTTCATAAAGCACCTCAGCAAGGAGCACGCCATGACTGCTAGAGGTAACCTACCTCTACCCGCGATGAACATGTTCATGCTGCGTGCACCCCCGCACAAGGCCGAGCCCACAGCAAATATGACGACGAACGTGAGGAGCACCGGCTTCCTCCCAAACACCGACACGAGGCCACCGACGGTAGGGAGGATAGCAGTAGACGCGATCGTATACGCGCTCCCTGCCCAGATGAAGTCCGTGCCGTGCAAGTGCTCAACGATTGTTGGAAGAGCGGTGGATACAGCCGTCTGTGAGCGTGTCGGTGCTTATTTTAGTACCCGATCGCCATGGTGGGGAAAGAGCCCACAGCCTCACCAGATCAAGTGCAGAGAGGAGATCGACGACGAGGTTTCCGACGAACACCATCCAGAATGCAAAGCCTCTCCGACTCTGTTCGGGTGTGCCGATTGGAAAAGGATTGGTCTCGGCGACCATGGAGTCGGGTTGAGCAACATGCGCACTGCTGGTGCGCGAGTTAGCGTCTTCATGTGCAAACATACAGTTATTCACCACGGCTCTGGACACGGGCTCATCGTAGCACGTAGCGAGGTAAAGAGATTGAATGGACCTGGGGGGCACCAAACGGATGTTCAGCATGCACTAAACTGATGCTACATCGTTATGTGAGCCATGACTGCCCGTGTTGGTACCAGCTTCTGGTGGAAGGCTGTCCCGGGGACAAATTCGGAACGGAGGGTATCGATTCGAACCCATACTGCTCGTGTTCATCAAACCACAAGGCCTTGTTCCGGTAAGCAGATGAAATGTCGTAGATTTGTTGACAAATTAGCTGTCACCAAGCCTATTGAGACTTAGAGTGATCGGGGTCCACCCGCAATCAGCGAAGGACACTCCAGATACACGGCGCAGGTGATTACATCTCCATCATGTGCTGGTTGTCTCGTACCTGTCTCGTTCGATCACACAGATGTCAGGCCACGCATGTCCTGCAATGGAAATAAATACATGAAAGCAAGAACAGAGAAACGACAAGGTTACAGGGTCGCCGAATAATTAATCAAAGGCAGCCTCCACGTGATAACTTCGGGGTTCATCGAGCGCTGCTTCCAAGATGAGACTTGATGAACTGAATGCATTCTTCCAACCATTGCTCCTTGATACCATCCGGTTCATTGTGCAGTTCGTGACAACCGCCCTAGAGTACGAGCACCATAAGTCTCAGCACAAATTCGTCTATCTGGAATAACACACCTTGTACATCACCAGTTGCTTGTCGGTTGCTGGAAGCTTGTTATAGAACGCCTCTGTCGAAGGAGGGTTTGAGACCTGCAAATGAGCTCAATATAACGTTCGTAGAGAAGTACACGTAGTGCGCACGAACCTGATCCTCGGTCCCTTGCAGGACCAGGACCTAAGGATCAATGCGATGAGTAAGACAACAGTTGAATACGGCATGTGCTTACCGGTAGATCTGGCGGGAAATTAGCGTAGTCTTTCGTGAGAAGACGTGCACCCTGCAGATATCAACCGTCAGGGTAACAACAGTGATGAACACCTCATCAGGCTCATACTCCAGAGATGAGGTCGCCAACTCCTCGTAAGCTTCCCGGTGTGCCAACATATGGATCTTTCACATATGCCTCGTTTGTGGATTCATTGCGGGACAGGTCCTATAATGCCACAACACCGAGTTGAAACATTCCGCAACAGGAAAGGAAGGAAGATCAACCTCTGTCTTGTTCTTGACAGGTATGAGCGTGTAAGGCGCGACGGCGCTAACCGCATTAGCCACCCACAGTGCGGGCTTCGGAGGAGGCTTGGTGAGGTGAATAGTCGGTGCAGAGCCAATGATGCCGGACAAGAGCTTCGCCGTCGAACTCGCTGAGGAAGGCGGTGGACGCGTCACCAAGCTAAAGATCAGCGTACCGCCCTGCGCGATAATGTCTCAGCCCTGGAACTGCAGCTGCCGCGTCAGACATAGAGACGCTGCCCACCATTGAGAATCCCATGAGGAATACAGGAAGCCCCGAGAACGCGCCATGAGCGTGCTGCACCGCCCATTCCGCGTCCTCGCGCTGCGGGACAAACCCGTTTCTGCCGTACGCACTGTCCTTGCTCTTGTGCTCCGCATCGAGCGCCGTGCGCCCGAACCCGCGCTGGTCATACGCGAAGACCGTGACACCGTTACGGGCGAAGAGCGCGTGCGTGTCGGTGTATCGCCCTGTGTGCTCGGCAGCGCCATGCACAAAGACGAGCACGGCCTGCGAGTCCTGTGCGGCGTACGTGCGGGTGTAGAACTGGGTGCCGGAGGGGCCGCTCAACCAGGCCTCGGTGTAGCTGGACATAGCTGAGGCGATAACACTCCCGTTCAGAGTGCCTTGTGTCAGGAAGCGGTAGGTGATGCCATGTGGAATGTGTGCGATATATGTATCGCTTCAGACAGCTCTTCGGTGCAGACACGGAATGGACAAGGTGCATATTCGTTGGACCCCAGAAGGAGCCCCATATTGGCACCTCAACAGGCTCGCAGGCCAGCCGTTGAAGCACGTATTGCCTTTTTCGTTTTATCCTAAAAAGGATACCAGAGTGCGAAAAGGACAACGTGCTCTCTTTCAGCCTCAGCGTAGCTCATCTCGCATGCCTTCTTCTCTATCAACCTGTCCAGGCTGCTGATGAAGGTCACATCTGATCCTGATGCTTATTCGCCGGATAAATCTGCGACAATCATGGTACAGATGTCCCCAACCCAGGTGCAAATCCAAAATTAGAACACACAAACGTCAGACTGAACCCATACAACACTGACAGTACCAATAGGTCCGCAATTCAGTAAGAATGAGAAGGCGACAGAAAGACTATCAAACGGCGAAATCATGCGATGGGCTGTATAACTCAGACGCAGGCCGAGCAGGCATGTCGGCTGCGGCGTAGATGCCCTCAACCCACTGTAGTTGCCTTACCGGGTCATCTGCCTCCGGCCAATAGTGCGGCGCGCGCCCGCGCACCTGCTCTACGAACGCCTCAAGCTGGTACCGGTACGACGACCACCAGTCCTGCCCGCGACCGTCCGCGAACCGGTATGCTTTCTCCACACGCTCCTTCCCGCCCTGCGGCTTGATCTTGATGCTGTGGAAGACGTGCGCGAGCGGGTAGTTGAAGTATTCAAGCGCGCCGCGCTCGCATTCGACATGCACACTCGCCTTAAGCAAGCGCGGGAAGATGTGAAACGGTCCCCATCCGCTCATCCCAAAGTCCGCGTACGTTTCCGCCTCAATAGAGGACTGGAGCATGAGCCGTGCGGTCATCTCACGATCGATGCGCGCTGGGTCCGCCGCGTGACCCACGGCGCGTGCGCTCGAGACCTTGACGGGCTCACTCGCGGTGAAGAAGCGCACGGCAGACAGCGGGTATACTGTCAGGGTGTGTGAGCGTTGTCACACGTGGGTTTGCGGAGGGCGCCTACTCACCGCCCATATCCATCGTGGCGCCGCCGCCGAGGTCGTACTTGAACCGTACGTCGTCCTTGAGGAAGAAAATACCATGCGGTGCGTCAGGTACAGCAAAGTCAGCGCGAATGCCTGTAATCTTGCCGAGCTCGCCGCTGTCAAGAAGTTCCTTGACCCGGTGTGTCGCCGGATGGAATCTGCAATATAGTCAGCCGGGAAATGGGAGTTCGCTCGTACGAGCATTGCAGCATATTCTACATCAATAGACCTGAGAGAAAGGTTGTGCACGACCCTGGCGCATGCGGGACTTTGAATCAAGAGCTGGCGACAACTCAGTATTGACTCATCATGGTGAACGGAATGGAGTTGCCCATCCCGCAGGCCATGACCGCCTGAAACCTGGCTGTGCTCATGTCAAATACACAGGTCTATCCATGTGGAGACGGCTGTGGCCCATTCATCAAAACGTACGTGTAGTGGATGGCTTCGAGCAGGACAAGGTTCTTGCTCGCCGCGAGCTCGATCATCTGTTGTGCTTCCTGCGGCGTGTCTGCCATGGGCTTCTCAACGAGCACATGTTTGCCGCTGCTGAGAGCACGCATTGTCCACTCGTAATGCAAGCCATTAGGGAGCTATGGGGTGATCTTCGTTATCAAGAAGACAGCTAGACAAATGAAGAACCTACCGGAATGTACACGACATCGATGTCAGGGTCGTCGAGGACGGCTATATCGAGGTTTCAAATCAGAACAGCGAGAAATATTAGCAGAAGCTTGCATAACGCACCTTGATAGCAATCATCTCCTGAGTAAACCTTGGAAATACGATGCTTCTTTGCGTATGCGGAAGCCTTGGACGCGTCGCGGGATGCAACAGCGAGCACAACCACGTCGGGGTGACTTATGGCGGGGATAATAAGAGCATTAGGCGCAATGCGTGCGGCACCGAGGATACCGAAACGCAGGGCGTCGGCGTTCTTTGCGGGCACATTGGGCGGGCTGTTGATCTGCGAATGCGGAGGATGAAGCTGAAACGACACAGAATGTGGACGCAGGGAGACGGGCTCACATTGCGAATGCGCTTGAGGAAACTGAACAGGCCCGACATGGCGAGGATTGCGTTGCGTGAGGGGTGCAGGGTGTGAGTTTATGGTTTACGCCAACATCCGTAGGCTGGGACCACGCGGACCTGATCTAGGAGCTCTAAATCGCATGCGAACAGTCCTCAGATGTGCAAGGTGCAGGTTTGTTCATGTCAAGGTGTGGACACGATCAGAATGGGGCGTGCCGGCTTCTCCCGCGAAGGGTCCAGATGCGAGCATGTACCCAAGCGCTGTGCCCGAGGCCCCCGGAACGAGAAGGCGGCGTTCCCAAGATGGTCATTCGAATCACACTCGCAGAGACAAACAAAACAAAGCGAGTAGCACGTCGTAGAGGCCTGCCGAATCTTGCCGAACGAATCAAAGCCTGAATAACCACAATTTACTAAAGTAAGCCGAGGCTTCCTGTATGCGAAGTCCGCTTACGCACACATTGAGTTCAACAAGGTGTGTGAAGTGGTCTCGAAATGAAGGTAGCGCTTCGGCACTGACGGAGAGCTTTTCGGAAATCACAAGGGGCATCGTGCGCTGTCATACATCATATACCATTGGAGGTTGTACGTCCGTTACTCATCATTCTAAGGTTGTCATATCTTCAAAAAGGTTTCAAGGTACCATGTTATACTTTGGTAAGGGTTTCGCGAGCGTCAAAAAGATCACACCCGTGTCAGTAAAAGAAGGAAGGAAGGGTAATTTCCGGTTTAGGTCCCGATCAATGTGCGCCGGTATCTTGCATAAAAAGGTAGCTGGGCCTCATCTTCTCTGTTGTCGGCCAGAAGCCCGAGGAGGCTTGATCCGGCCTGACAGTTGAGCGAAGTCCGGGCATTACTTGAGGTCCTCCCATATCAGACAAGTGAGGTGCACATCAAGGGCCGTTAGGGCGTCCATTTGTATAGTCCTTGCATTTGCGGACTTTCTGCCTTCAGGGATTCTCAGAGATCATCGATTGCCTTTCGTGTCCCAGCCTTAATTGCAATTCTGAGGCCCTTTGTTGTATCCTGTCTCCGACGACAGGTTCGCTGTCTCTGCCTCGGGTACACGCATGTTCTTCCTACGATTGCTGCATTTATCATACATAGCCTATTTGTTCCCGTGAAGCTGTCATCATTATGCTCTCACGGTTTGTCCATTTGCGACTAGTGCTTGTCACTGCGTGCAACGCAGAGACATAATGCTCATCTAATGCGAGGGACAGTGCGAACAAATGGTGGATATCGTGATAGAATGGGCCTTTTTGTAGTACAAACACATCGGAGACTCAAATGCGTGAGGCGTGAGGCAACACATACCATGAAGCTGAAAAGAAACCACATCTACAGCTCAGTGTCTCTTTACATGAAATCCATCGGGTCCAATCACTCTACAAAATGAACGGCAGGAATTTGTAAGGCACTCGCTGACTGTATCGTTTCCACTCTTCCTTGAATGTTACTCTCATCAGATCGTCCTCGACCTTCGCCCGATTGTTCAATGACAACAGCGTGAACGTATTGCACACCGCCCACATGAGCACGAGCCACCAAATTGGTGTCCGCAGGAGCCGACACTGCACCATGTAGCCTCCCGGCTCGAAGGCGATTAGCGCGACCCCAATTTGCATGAGGACGACGCCGGTGTAGCTCGGATGGCGTACGTACGCGTACGGGCCGGACGTGATGAGCTTGTGCTCTGGCCGGATCGTGACCAGGAAGGTGAAGAGTCGCCCAAGCGTGGCATAGCACCACAGACGGAGGGCAGCGGTAAGGACGATAGTCGTGACCCCTGCGACGAATGGTGTGGAGAGGCTGAATAGGGCATGACTCTCGGGAGAGCTGTTGGGGCAGATACCCTGAAGCAGCGTTCGTGTGGCAGGCCACGGGTAGCGGGTTGCAAACATTACGAGGATGTGGCCGAGACATAATGCTGACACCGATGTCTGTAGGATCGAGACTGTACATGAGGGCCTGGCGTGTGTCAAGCGGAGCAGACAGACATACCCTGACGAGGTGGGCAAGGGCCATGACCGTGCGCTCGAATAGTTGACCTTTGTACGCTAGCTCATCCTCGCGCGTCGGTCGCGGCGGCATGAGGCCTACATGGTGTCCAAAGACAGCAGCAAGAAGTAACAGTGACTTCACTGTGAAGAAGATTGACATATCGGCTGCCACTGCGACGTGGTATGGACACGTCTTAAAAAGAGGTGAGTTCACAGAGGCGTGAAGCTGAAGTCTACGAACAGACAAGGAGGTGCGGCAAGATCACATTCCATGGGATTTCAGGAAAGGTACTGATTAGCGGTCCGAAGTATCACTGGGCGCCACACAGACATCGCTATGATCAAAATGAACACCAAAGGAGGAGAATCTCGAAGAAGCAGCGTCAGCCAGTTCGCAGAGCATGTCACCGAGTGAAGCGATTGTGGTGTCCGAGGTCCTCACCATTATCTCGTATTCGATCAAACTTGTGGTTGTGGGTTGATTTAGCGAAGTCTGTCACTGCTATTTTGATACAACCTGCAAGGGCACCACGCAGATACGTCTGATCTATCCACGTCCTTTCTGTTGCCGCAATTTGGAATGATCCAGTCTTTGCGATTCCTTGCCAGTGTGAAGTGTCACGGTAGCATTACTCATCATCATGTTGATACCGATTTCCACTGCGCGCATCTAGGCTTGCGCTCGGTCTTCGTATTACAAAAACAAGGTACATTCTCATCGACAATTGTCCTTCTAACTGAGGACCAGCTACTGTCAAACTCTCCAACGCACGATCCGTATTTTGCGCATATCTTGGTCCAAGCAGCGTGTTTATATAGAACCTCTTCCTACATAGCACGCAGCGACCTCCGACCATGGATGACCAATGCAAGGTGTGGTTTATCACAGGTGAGTCATGCCAACCTTGGGCGCCTTCTTCTGATTGGCTCGTCAATAATGTTTGTTTTTCCCTTGTCACCTTGTTAAACCGCTATACACGGGACATTCTCACATTACATATTGTGTGATGCGCTGACCACGGATACTGACATACGGACTTAGGCACGTCGACGGGTTTCGGCAAGATATTGGTGTCGCTGGTATTATCCCGCGGCGACCGTGTGGTCGCCACAGTTCGCAACTTGGAAGACTTCACGCTGACAGACGTAGATCGTTCGCGACTTCACGTAATGATACTTGACGTCACCGAATCGGAGGATGAAGTCAAAGTCAAAGCACAGGAAGCCATCGGAGTTTGGGGGCACGTAGATTTTGTCGTCAATAATGCGGGCGTCACGCTACCTTGCGTGCTCGAAGAAGGGGGGTAAGCTCTATTATTTGACGCTTCCAGAGGCACGGCCCTCATGATCAGGAACTTAGGTCGAAGGCGGCACTGGCACAATTTCAAACGAATGTGTTTGGGGTGATGAATGTGACCAATGCATTCCTTCCGCACATGCGGGACAGGCGGTCTGGAACAATTATACAGATGGGCAGCCGCTCCGTCTGGAAAGCAGACACTCGAGTAAGTGCTCTCGTTGGCGAATTGACTCTAGCCACGCGAGCTAAACATTGCTTTTATTCTAGCTGCTGGGGATGTATGCAGCCTCCAAGGCAGCAGTACACGGTATAGTGCCTTATCCCTTCTGGAATGCGTTTTAACAACAAAGCTGGGTTGACAGCGTACACGGAGACCCTAGCCGCAGAGCTCGTCGAATTCGGAATACGTGTTCTGCTAGTTGTTCCTGGGCTCTTTCGCACGGCCACCAGGACCGCCGACTTTGCCTACGAGCGGCTCCCCGCATACGATTCCCTGCGTGATGGGGACGAAGCGATGCTCCGCCAGGCATGGAGGCACATCACGGGAGACCCAAGGAAAGCTATGGAACTCGTCGTGGATGTTGTGCGTGGCGAGGGGAAGGCTGAGGGGAAGGACTTCCCCCTGTGGCTCATCCTGGGCAGGGCAACGCACGCCCACCTTCGAGCACATTGCGACACGCTGAGACGATCTATGGACACATGGGTGGATGTAGCAAGGGATTTGGATTTTGACGAGGCTGGTGACGCGTAAATCGGCCCGGCGAATGAGCGTGTACTACTACATTTCTGTCAACATAGCTGAAAGATAATGAGGTCTACATATGCACGCGGACTGCATGTCACGATATAGATAGCTGAAGCATCCTCATGTCAGATCTTCCGGATGGCCTGTGTGCTTCGGCCACAGGCACCTGTCGAAATTTGGAAGCACGGTCGATACCTACGGTAGCAGCTCACATGGCGGCGTTTGGTACTTACACCCTTTGAAGTTATTCCTGTACTCGGCTCCTTCCGTGTTTTCTGTCTACAAGGTGGTGTCAAACATGCATCTATTTACGTCGTCTCTAGCGGTCCCGATGAGATCTATGATAGAATCCCTGTCCTCTACATCGCCCGGCAGGTTGCGTGAGATCTCAAATGCGCGACTTACTCAATAGCGGAATGTGGAATTGGGCATCACCAGCGGAGTCTTTATGAATAATGATACTCAGTCAGGTCTGACGGGGAGCTGACTGTTGGTCACATGTGGCACCTTGATTTATAGCAACATACAACACAATTGATCTGGCAGTAACCACACCAGTATACAAAGCCAAAAAGCACCCCGAGCTCCAAAGGAATGAGACATCAATACATATGTGCCGTCGCTTCATGTTCACTTCACAGCGCCATGTCAGGATTCCCCTTCAGATCCTGTGAGTATTACGCCACCCGACAGAACACTGCAAATTCATACCTTGTATGCGCTGTTGGTGTGCACGGTCGCATCCATGCTTGTTTGATCGAAGGTCTAAGCATGCATGTATGAGATAAGAGAACGTGGACCGTAAATCACAGCGCAGCTCGCCTTCCGCACAACACGGTCTACAGAAACCGCAACGGGACTGGTTTTACTGTTGGACGACTCGGTGCCAGAGTGAATCGCAAGTTGGGCAAGCGGGATCGAGTTGATGAGCTGACTCTCGCTGTTTTGCCCTTCGCGGATGGCGTTTCTCACATTCAAGCTGCAGTGTAGATGTTAATGATATTAGCAACGAATATGTGGTACCGGGGGAAAAGACGCACGACGTGAGAAGAGCATTGATGTACACTAAAATGAAATGAATCCAGTGAGCAGACATGACAGCGAGGTACATACATTTTCCCAGCATAAAATTGAAGCAAAGGACATAGAGGCCGTTCGGCGCCACTACATACTACGCATATATTCAATACCAATGCTCACTAATATGTATTGGCTTCCACTCACAGCCACGAGGTTCGCGATTACAAATACGCTGAAAGGTTAGGAGTGTTGAGCTCGGCATCTGCTCCAGCATTCCAAGAGAGTGCAGCCTACGTTGTGAGCAAGCCGGTCGTGACCGTCATGGCTATAAGCTTGTCGATAAGCCTGTCGGACCTGCGCTCGGAGTGAAAAAAAATATTAGGTATCTCCTGGACGATGCGTGGATTAACTAGCCTCCTGAAGCCCGTCCTGTTCTTGCTGAGCCAGAACGCGAGGCATCCGGAGATACACACATCTGTGGCCACAGCGACAGCCAGCCCCGATATGCCCGTTTGCTGTCAGAGCTGTCAGCACGTGGTCGCTGCAGCTAATGGGGTCACACCAACCCTCTCGCCATCGGTGTTCAGCAAGTTGGTTGTGAAGAGACTAACGAAAACATAGAGTAAGTTGCTGTGGCTTGTAGTGCAGTGGTGTCTACCTACCCGCGGATGGGATAGACCAGGTTCATTGCTTTGGTGGTGTCAGATCCTACTGACGGACAACAACGAGACAAGAGGATGAGAAGCTACAACGCACTAAAATGGGCTACGGTGAGGATGGCCTATTCCTGCCGTTAGTATTGTATTGAGATTATCATCAATGCATGGGACCTACGCATACAGCAGTGGCGAATATGCTCTTGCTCACTGTGTTTCGAAATATTACGGCTATCATGAGATATTGGGAGTCAAAAGGTGTCCTCCAACCTACATTTCCAGAGTCGGAAAACAAGGAAGCTGGAGGCGTCCCGTCAAGCGTAATTGACGCAGATGAGCATGGGGAGATACCTTTCCACTATAAATGCAATTACAGCCTACACAGGGATGAGAATAGCACAGCGCTGGGAAACCTGAGGCAGCAACGCACATTGACTATAATTTCAGCCTGCCCGAAGCCCTTGCAGTCAACGACGATGCGCGATCGGAGGCATGTAACTGGATGACGTACTGAGATACTCCTACGACATGCTTTTATTAGAGACGATGCTCTAACGGAAATTGCGACACGCACCAGACGGAGTTGAGGAGGGTTACAGGGTTTCCATAGTTTATGATACAATAATAATAGAAGATATGTGTAATCAGACACTGGTGGAGCGTGTCGAAGATCCTGCGCGCGAGATCAAGGTGAGGCACTATCTCGAATATGTACAATGTCGTACAAAAGTGACAGGACCTGGATATGGTGTCAGTACACACTATGAGATAAATAACAACGGTACTCACGAGCGCCTTCATAATCCAGCCATCCTTTGTGGCGGAACGGAAGAAATAGAATGTTTGCACGCAGGTGACGCCAAACAGCCTGCAGAGCCATCAACCACTTATTTGGAGGCAAGGTAAATATCGCAGTACATACACAGCTGCTATGACTGAGCCAACGTACGCCGCCCCGAGAGTCGATCCGAGTGCGAGCTTGAGCGGCGGCGGAAACACATCAGCCATTGAGGTCAAACTTAGAGTGTATGAGATCGAATGTGAGGGAGATGGCACACTGGCTATCCTAAACTCTTAACGAGACCATGCACAAATATATACGCACCTGATTGCGCAAAGATAGAAGATACTTCCCGTTACTGCACATCCCATTGGACGCGTGACAGAATTAATATTGGCGCCCGCAAAGTGTCTGAAATGTACAGTACGCGGCCTAGAGATCCGAACAACAATGCTTGATTATCTATCAACAAGCACGCTGCCTGTGTGCGATCCTCTGAACAGCAATATCAGGAACTTGTGAACGGTTTGGGGTCTTGTCTCGGTCCTCAGTGTCAAGTGAAGGCAACATGGGAGGGCACAAACCCGTGTCCAGAGCCTGTCAACACAAATCAGTCTTGCTCACGCGTTCATCGTATTCGCCTGCCAGCAACACTTCCCACTGTTCAGGGAATAAGACCCCGGGAGACGACAGTTGATCGCTTCGAAGCCGCCACAAGATGATACATACCCAACGCGGAAAGAAGGAAATTAGTCTCGTGCCCAGACCCACTGCATCCGTACCTCACACTTTGATAGTGGGCCCGGGTATGAGATCACCGCCGGTCTGTATAGGACACCTTGCACCGCAGATCAGCCGCATCACAACGTACAGATGGAGGATTGTTCGCCAACTTCAAGCGTTCTACTGACGCGCCCCCTAGATCTTTCCGCGTATTGCAAAAAGCATTCCCGTTGCGTTGCTCGCGTCACGCTCGAATGCATGTGCTGGCACATTACACTTACCGTTGCCCGCTGTGGCTATGTACCATCATTTGGGTTTGGTAATAGCAAGTACACTCCGACGTCTTTGAGTTGATATACGAGTGAGTGAAACCGTTTGGGGCCTGCACATCTGCGCTCGTAATCGAAGAATGCGATTGCATGCCTAGGTACGCCCGTTTGCGGGCAAGGGCGCCCCAGATGCCCATGGCGGCACTTCGAGTGGTGATTCTTCTCTCCGTGTATGTCCTGTTTGGTGATTTAACAGCGCCTTGCTGTGGCCAGAGCGCCACGTATCAGTCTATCAGAGCCTTCCAGCGTCCCTTGTGGTCAGGAGGACGTCAAATACGAAAAAAGGTGGGAAGGTGCCGCCGTATCTTGCTTGCTAGGTTTGACCGTTTGACCCCGAAGTTGATATCGCATGTCCTACAGACAGTCTGCAGTTGATCGTCCACATGGGCTCGTTAATATCAGTGTTCGGAACTCTCAAGCCGGATGTATGTGCCGTCCGAATAGCGGCTTCGATTCAAGCTGAAACGATCTAGGCAACGATGAAAACACGGCCGTGATGAACTGGGTTTCACAGTGATGATCTATGGGAACATACAGCTATCGGCCATCTGGTAGCTCAGCACATACGTTGAGCAATACTTCCTCACTCTCAACATCTGCGGGACCGCACATCTGGTACATCTGACCGTCATCATATTCTATATACGGTGTGGCAAGGGTAAGGGATACATAAGCTGCCCTCTCTTCGCTCGCCGACTAGTTCTACCTGATAGGGTGCAGCATGGCGCTCGCAAAGACCATCCTTCAGAGCACTAATCCTGGAGCTTATGTACTGCTTGTAGGAGCGGGATGCGTAAGTGCAGAGTTTCTGTTATACACTTCAGCGGCTCATATTCATCAGGTTACGTGGGGAGTGCTGAACCGTTGTCGAATGCGCGGAGATTATGCAGTCTCCGCATTAGCCGTGGCATTCCTGAGCTTGCTCGTTATTATCTATACACAAGTCCAGTCCATCTACGCTTCTACTGTCCTTGTATCCACGTATACCTTCGTCTACATAATCTCCGCCGCACTCTTCACCGCCGCATATCGACTCTCCCCCTTCCACCCCTTGGCTAATTTTTCGGGTCCGTGGCTTTGGTACATCAGCAGTCTCAAGCTTTCGTGGGTCTCGCTACAAGGAAGGCGGCATCTGATCATCGACGAACTACACCGTCAATATGGACCCTTTGTGAGGATCGGTAAGTCACGTCAGGAGCTCCGTCGCGAGTGCAGTTATATTCATCACCATGCCCCTGCCACATAGGTCCGGACACCCTCTCCGTCAATACCCTCTCCGCGAACTACATATACGGTGCGCAGGCGCACATGGAGAAGAGCGACTCGTATTTGTTACCAGGTCGCCAACCAAATGTATCGCTTTTCTTCAAACAGAAGACAGAGAAGACACACAGCGACAGGAAGCGGGTGTGGTCCGCAGCATTCACAGGGTCGGCGTAGGTCTTGACGTTTCATGGTTCATGGACTGCTGGCTGACCTCGATCTCCCAGTGTCGTCCATTTCTTCCCTGCACTGGAGCGTCGGACGTGGCAGCTGCTTTCTTGTATCGAGGAGAGACAAGCTGCGGGCAAAGACGGCTATGTAGATCTTGCAAAGTGCTTCTGCCATTGGTCGTATGATTTTATGGTGTGTAGTTCATGCTCTTATCTGCGTCCCAAATTAATTATCTCGCGGTTAGGGCGACATGGTATTTGGAGGATGCAACAATTTGGTGCGTACCGCTCAATTGTCATAATCGATATCATTCCGTACACAGATTCAACCACCTTGGTAGGAGCTCATGAAAACGGGCGACCCTGACAAGCTGGTGGAGGGCGGGAAGGTTGCTACTATTGTCGTCGATAGGTAGGCACTCTCTGAGTTCCATTCGGCATATATCTCAAGAAGAAGACAGCATTGGGCAATCACCCTGGCTCATGGATATAATCTGGCACCTCCCCGTTGGCAGACCTGTGACTCGCCTGCGCGACATTGCTGCATCCCTAATGAGGACCCGAATCAAGTCTGATGCGGACGTCGAATTGCGCGACCTGACTTCGTACCTGGTATGTATCTCCTCATCCTGTTTAGGCATAGGGGGAGTTGAACAATCACAGTTGGCTGGAGACCTTCAAACCGGAGAACGGATCTCGCATGCTGATCTCGAGCTAGAGGCCATTGTAGCCATACAAGGCGGTGAGCGTACTTTGACCAAGATGCGAGAGATAAGTATTCACAAGCTCTAGGCTCCGACAACACCTCCACGACGATATCGCTGGCTTTCTTCTTCATGCTCGCGCAGCCCAAGTATTACGCTGCTTTACGTGCGGAGATAGATGCAGTGTTTCCCGATAGGCGCGGACACCTCGATCCCGTGAAATTGGGTGGGCTAAAGTTCCTCAATGCGGTGCTCAACGAAGCGCTCCGCCTCGGCTCGCCTTATTTCATCCCGAGAGTCGTACCCCCTGGCGGCGCCACCATCGACAGGACTTTTATCCCGGAAGGGACCATTGTAGCGCTTGCGGCGTATTCGCAGCAAGTCAGCCCTGATAATTATTGGCCGGATCCATTGGTGCGTCTATTATATTCGTAAGACATTCAGGAGATACAGGGGTTCATGGACGATCCAGGAATTTCGGCCTGAGCGCTGGATGCTGGGTGGCCTAGGGCCAACCTCAAAGACAGAGAAGACGGCGTTGTTCTCGTTTACTTCAGGTAAGGTTTGGGCGTTTATCATAGTCGCCTAGCTCATTCGTAATGTAGGTCCGCACATCTGCATCGCAAAGGCGTTTGCATATCAGGAGATGCGCCTAGTGGTCACTCGTCTGGTTCTCAACTACAATATGCAGCTAGCCGACGGATTCGATGCACGCGCTTTTCGCGACGGCATCTTGAACATGCGTACGACGATTTTGAAGAAGCCACTCCTTGTCCAGGCAACTCGTCGTCAGGCAGCAGACATGTCAAGTCCGTAATTCTATGTATGTCGTGTAGTAGTGCATGCTATGTTTTCTTCGTGTAGTGCAGTGCGCAGCCACAGGCGGATGGTATCCGGAGACCTTCGTAGTGATCATTTTATTGGGGGTGACACACTTGGTCGGGTTTCGTGAGGCGCATCTTGTGCAGGTATTGTAATCTTAGCACTTGCATTTGGCCACACAACAAGGGCATTCTAGAAGTTGCTTTGGCTTGCTTTGAATATATATCCAACACAAAGTGTATGCTGCCATTTTTGCACCTTTCGCAGAACTCAGTGCACACATGGCCCTAGTCACACTTCTCAGCTCGAATGGAGGTGAAACAGATGATGTAGACAGAGGTGAAGATGTCTCACCATGCACCAGTGAGGCTTAAGATGATGTATCATTGCGAACACACACGAAATTAGCAGTCTCACAAATCCATCACCAACTATCAGACATGTCATGCACTCATTTTTGTCTCAGCCTGCATTGCCTGTCAGCACACTGCTGATGTTCCGTGCAATGAGGGACTAAGGTCAAACATAGCGTCTCCGAAGTTCGGGCCAGGAACGGGTTTGAACCGTCCGTACCCTGAACCGAACCTGCGGTTCAGGTTCGGTTAAGCTCGGTCCATGGATTTTCCCAACAGTTCGGTTCAAGGTTCACAGCCATCAAAGACCGGTCCGAACTGTGAACCGGAATCAAGCCTGGCTGCTCGCAAAAAATACTTAATCAAGTTTGAAATACTAGTTTACATTAGTCTAACCAACAGACAATGTTCCGATCTTTCCACAGGACCAGCGCATGCTGCTCCCCAAACAGCATCGTGATGCGTACAATGCCGCAGATTAGCTCCGGTTGAACCTGGGTTCATCGACCTACATGTTCAACCTGAGACGCCTTGGGTTTTTCTACAAATTGGCGGACCTGGGTTTTCCTCAATCTGCCCTGGGATTCACTACAACCTGGCTCCCGGTGACCCCAGTTCCATGATGCTGGCTCATCCACCCGGATTCCTGGATATTGCACCAGATTCTGATATGCCAGTTATCACTTGCCATAATTAATATATTATGTTATGCAGATAGTACTACAGACACTGTACGAAACAGCGACCACACTGGCACATGCACCAGTATGTCAGTTGTGCATAGTCAGTCCACATACCTTGAACATCACTGTCATGAGTTGACACGGTGTCTAGCCGTTTTTTAATTTTTTCCTTTCCGCAGGCTCAAACCCGCGACCTCTGTACTATACGCTCGAACGGACATGTCGTTATCTACTGTATGATTAGATTAGATGGGCGGCAGTGCGCAGCACAGCTCGGGCCCCGCTGACACAGCCATGATGACTCACCGGCCCCTGGGGGCTGCGTCAGCATGCTGCGCATGGACCAGCGATGCACGGACCAGTGCGCACAGCCTCCCCTAAACTTCCCCTGTATATAAGCCTGCCTCTGCTGCCCTAGGGACCTCAGTTTCGACCTCTTGTCCCTAGGTCAGTAAGCCCATGTACTTACTTATCTTTTCAATACTAACTTACTTGTCCCTAGCTTTAGGTTTGAGCATTGCTCACCATCGCTTCGGTGAGACCCAGTCGAACACCCCCCGCCTTCGTGTTTGTTTGTCCTTGTCGCTTGACCCCAAGTCACAACATTAGGTCGAAACTCCCCCTCGCTGCCGGCGTTCACACGCAACTCCACTCACACTTTCATTTCCTATAGGTTGGGTGGTGCGCACCCCTACCATACTCTACGATACGTAGATAGCCTACTATACATTGCCACCGCTCAGGGAACGAACCTTTCAGCACCTGCACTTCAGTGGGCGGTGCTTGTCCTTAAACGGTGATACGACCTACGAAACCCTAACCCCTAACCTGGGTGCGACCTAAAGGGACTAGAGAGACGGATTATAGTCTAGTGAGAGGGGAGTTAGCAGCAAGGTGTCCCGCGGTTCGAGTGAACACGAGAAACGCCTTCGGAAAAGGCTACGAACAATGGGGAAGCTACGAGGTGGCTTCGACACGTCGTCGAAGCTCCTCGGAGGCTGTGGACGGTTAGTGGAGACGATCGAAGCTCGGGAGAGCTCTTCGAAGAATCGTAGAAGAAAGAGACAATTCGATAGGGGGGACTTAGCTAGGACGCGGTTCACAGTTTCTTCGACAATAGTCGAAGTCGAAGGGTTCGTTGAGATGGTATCGACGAGTAAACGCAGTGGACGAGGTTTCGAGGTTACGCAGCGAGGGACGAAGTGACGCAGTTAGAGGCTTAGACGCAGGGCAAACTCGACTTATGAGCTCTGAACTCGAGGGGGGAACCGGATCTCCTTTTTTTAGAGAGAAGTACGACAGGTTTTATACTACACAGGATGCTACGACTATTCGAGAGTGGCACACTGGTACAAGGGGCTTTGCATTGTTCCTCAAGAAGCTGCCTCACCGAGGGGCACATACCAAGTCCATCGGTAGAGTGACGTCATGCCGAACGCGGAGATGAAGAGAAACATATGGCCACTTCGGACCGGTAGCCGTCGTCGAAGGCATGCCGCGAGGTTCGATACCTAATCGGGAAAGACCGGCTACGTTGGTGTGGCTTGGAGCGAAGCGCGCGCTTGGCCGAGCGGCGTCAAGTGGCCCTATTGTTCGCCGAATGCGGAAGATGTCCCGGGATCTACGCGCGAGGCATCGGGACGACCGTGCCGAGCTTCGAGT